TTACTTTACGTTCTCAAGACTACATAGCTTAATATCCCACATCGAAACTTCTGAGGAAGATTGGCAAGTATAAATTACTCACGGGTACCTGGAAACATTGCACATTCGGTTGGCACTTCGTGGACGCTTGTGCGTAAAAGTCACACGTGTATGCCCAACTCGCCCGTTCACACGCCCAACTAGCCCGTGTTTGTGACATCATAAACTGGTCTGTGATGTCATAATCATTTGACTCGCTCGGTTTCTTTCTAAACATGGGCGACTAGCGGTTTTAGGCCCGAATCGACATGAGGTGACTAATTCCTGTGTCGAATCACCCGAGTCCGTGGTGACTCGACGATTTTTAAACCACTGGTCCAAACAAATTTGACAGTATAGAACACTACAACATTACTTCTATAGATAAGGTTGCTGCCTTATATAAACAACATCCATATATGTGTGTGCTTTTGGTGGTTTTATTTTTCTTTTTTCTTTTTTTTGTTGTGGGGTTGGGTGGCAGGGGTGTAACAGTACTGTTTTGATATTTCAAGTTTTTATATCACCTAGAGGACCGATAGAATTGTTCTAAGCACAGTCACGACACTTTACCCTCTTAGGTTTGCCGAGAACTCCATTACGGAAGTAAAAGTTTTTAACCCCATTTTTTCTCTAACAAATACACAAGTCAAGAGAAAATGCAGCACTTAAAAAGGATTCACCACAATATGCCTTTTTTGGACAAGACCATTATGCTAGAATTCCATAATATGCCATGATAAAATATTAGATATGTGCATATTTAAATATCACATAGAAAACTCACCACAGGATCCTTATAGGCAGCTTCCAGCACGTAAACTTCATAGCCCGACCTCTGTTACAAAAAAAAAAAAAGGGAATAAGCAACCTGAGCTATCTTTAAGATTATAAATACTTACAAAACTATCTTTCAAAAAGAACGAAAAAGTGGAAAAAGAAAAAGAACTGTGGTAGCATATTTCCCAAGAAATCTTCTTCCTCCCCCCCCCCCCCCCCTCCCCCACCACCAAGTTTTTCCAGGTCATGTTTTTATTTCATTGACAAATGCAGCATTGATTTATAGGCTCATGCATGAAACTTAGCAATGTCAGGAAAACAGGAATTTTGGATCACTACTTCTTGATCTTTTAGAGCTAAAGTACCTATACATACCAATTAAGTATAGGTAAACCATGCATAATAATTAAAAGATAAAAGATGTGAAAGGAACATTAGCTAGTTGTAAACTTAACCATTACAAGCAAAAGTTCTCAATAAGAAACACTTCTCTATATTCTGAACAGGTCATTTCTGTGTTGAGATCAGAAAGGATCACTAGACTTACAATTTGCTACTTTCAAGCATTTTTAGTATAATAAGTATTGCTAAAAGCTCAAGGGCTTCCATGTATAGAAATCCCCAAATAATCTATCACTAGCCACTTTTGCAAGTTCTAAACCTAATAGTATCCTGTCAACAAATGCAATAATTGTTGCTTCTGCCAAAAGAGGTTTGAGTCAGGGATCCTCAACAGAGGGGATATTAGAGGTTGATTTCAGTACATTTTAATAAACATTTCCAAATTAAGAACAAAAAGACTTGAGCTACTACAAAACTTATCAACATATTGACAGCTCCCAACAAAGTACAGAACATGAACATGAAAAGTAACTCCTAAAATTGCAGTATTTTAAAGTGTAATGTAACATATAATCATAGGTACAAGTCAAAAACATGCAGCTATCAAAGAATTACTTCAGGTTTTTAGTAAGGTCTTGTCAAACAACTACAGACTCATGCACGACTTAACCGACTATTCAAATGTCTGACCAATATCCTACATGCATACTTTGTACATGCCAGTAAAGAATAAGTAAAAATGACAAAGATTGCCCTAACTCCTTTACTTACAAATAATAGCTGAGGCATTCGGAACTCAAGGTCCCGAACCATCCAAACTGCCAGCAACTCAACCGAAACTTTTTACATTTTTTCTTGCATAAGCGATTGCCACTAAATAACACAACACTCCTATGATTAACAAGCACATGAACCTCACTGAAATATTTCTTCCCAAAATTGGTTTGGATGAAACAATTTTTTTTATTTATAAAGTTAACTGTATTACTATAAATATTTTTTACATGGAGTGTTTGAACCGAGAGTCCCTCCATGCTAGGGCTCTCAGTAAAAAATAGGTCAACCGACCCAATACAAAATGATTTTCCTCCACTCTCTCCATCCCAAAATTGGTTGGATGAAACAATTTTTATAATCAAAATAGCTATCTAGTGCCCAAATCCAAATCACGCCAAGGGTTAAGATCATGCAGAAAACTAGCTTATCCAGCCAGGATCAAAAGAAATTAACTCAAACTGTCCAATCCAATTTTGGAAGAGTCCGCCAGGATCAAAAGAAATTAACTCATCTTTTAGCTGGTGTACACAGGGGTACCCTTAGTCCCCTAGGCACCAAATAACAACAACTACCCCTACCCCCTAAACACCCCCTCAAAAAAGAAGGAAATCCACAGCACTGGGGTAACAACCCAAATTTAAAATGAAAAACCAAACAGACAAAGGAACAAATGAGACACCGCCATTCAAAAGACCAAAAAGACAAGTCATCTCTTTATGCATATGTTTGGAAGGGTTGGGACGGGATGTATGCAATATGAATCAGCAGACGGATCTTCTTACAACTTTCTGAATCATTTTGACCAGAAAACCGAATGAAGAGTCAATGCCTATCTGATTCTAATAACTTTGACCAAAACCCTTGACCAAAACCCTTGTGGTGAATCTATAATTGGACACCAAAGAAGGAACTACCTCCTGCAGTCCTGCCTCTATGAAATAAAATATAAAGCAAGTAAAGAACTGCCTCCCCTTCCACAAGCACCTTCATCCCAGCAGCAACCACAGAAAAGAAAGGTGGAAGAGAACTGCTGATGGCAGATACATTGTCCAACAGGAAGAAGGAAATCCTCAACAAGGAAGTCAAGGCCTACACAAGCAGTGCCCAGAAGCTCCAGCTTTATTTCAAGGCAACTCTAAAGACCACATTAAAAATTCCCCCTTCCAAATCCAACCCAAATATCAGTCCCCTAATACTGTTCACCTGAAAAATAACCTAAAATACCTCCAAAAGTCCAAATATTCAATCAAATATTCAGATGCAAGAACCCAGATTACTGTCCAAAATTCATGTGTGAAAACCAAAATTAGCCTCCAAAGTAACAGGAAGACAATAATTACAAACCCGCCCCCCACGCCCCCAAAAAAAAAAAACACAGAAAAAAAAAATCCCTCCATGCATCATTAAATATTCAACACCCACATTCAAGAGCTTAGGTTATGAATCATATATGAACTATTCATACGAATATTTGAGTTATTAGTGAGCATTACTCTTTCAACAGTTCCAAAATCAAGGTGATGACAAGCACAAAAATATGTCAAACACTGAATTTGTTAAACGGAGTGCTGCTACAGCCTGACATACAAACTACTGTAAATTCAAAAAGAGAACACCCCATGCAAAAGCCACGTTCACACAATTGAACCATAGAAACAATCAAAGGCGAACTTTTAAGTGGATATGCATCACCTAGGAATGACAGGAGTACAGTCTTCATGTTTTAGTACCTCATCTAGAGATGTAAATTCAAAAAGAAAGCACCCCATGCAAAAGCCATGTTCACACAATTGATCGATAGAAACACTCAAAGATGAATTCATAAGTGGATATGCATCACCTAGGAATGACAGGAGTACATTCTTCATGTTTTAGTACCTCATCAAGAGATGGGGGAAAATACTAGAAAAATAATACTCACTGTGGTCTTAAAGAGAGAGTAGAGGGTATACCTTTGCAGTTGCCCAAAATAGAGCAAAATCACCAACCCGCAGATTGCGGTCATCCACTAAGAGAAGGCACACATGCCAGCAACAAATGGGTCAATTGTCCGAACAGCTGCATATGTAATTAGTGAAAACTTAAAGCAGTGCACAAGCACTGCATTTTTCTACTTTTATGTACACCATGTCGCAATGATTACTCAGATGGGTAAATCTCACAAACAAAGAATGGGTATTATAAGTTTGTATTCTTCTAAACAAAATTCCCACCATCATTTCAAAACATGGCTAGACTGATATAAACTTCCTTTCAACTAAGGTTGGAGTGATATACAAACTGAGTAAAACATCTTAGAAGCACAAAATATCAACCCGTGAATATATAATAGAATTCGGAACGGATGATAGAAGACAAGCCAAAACGACCACAGGAAGAAAAGTATCAATAAATGATAATTTCCAGATGAGGCAACTTTCTCTAAATACTAAAACAAGAGAACTTAAATGGGTGATTAGCATGCAGTATATGGATAAGAGAGTCATACCAATAATGAAGGTAAATATCCCCTCCTCCAGGGTCTTCTTAAAAGCTTTCAACATGCTTGCACGATAGGCCTGCCATAATGCATCATTAGTGAAATGACTTTCCGAGCGCATATGCATTCAAAATGCTTCATACTTCACACCGATGAAAACTAGAGCAAGAGGTTCAATATCAAATTGACAGCTACTTAAAAATGTGAGGCAGTGATCTAAAACGGAAGATATGGACTCCAAATGATCCCTTGATGGCATTGCACAGTGTTTTAAAAACCGGAACGGTGGGACAGATTGTTCACCCACAGATCCATGTCAATCACTGGATCAGCGATTTGAATCAGCCTGAATAGACGATCCAAAAAATTCAAAATTAAAATAAAATAAAATAAAAATAATGGTTTATAGGGCCAACCCAAAATAGTTTGGGAAAAGGCTCTGAGGATGATGATGAATGGTTTATAGGGTGGAGATTTCAGGGGACCTAAGAAAGACAAGCTTAAAACAAGAAAAATATAAAAAATATAAAAAATAAAAAAAAATAATATGTATATAAATATATATATATATATAAGTGGCGGGGTTTTGGGGGGGAACCAGGCTCAGAGCCATACCATTCCAAAACTTGTTTGGTCCTAACCAATTCCCATCCGGATCGGTGATCTAGATCAGAAATGCCAGATTTTAAAAAACTGGTATAGCAATAAGTTGTTCTCATGCCAACTTGCTAAAGATTATAAAAAACTGTACTCCATCTGTCCATCGTAATCAGAATGAGTTCCAGGAAAGGCCATCTTGGAGACACCATTATTTATCACATCAACAACCCACTATCAAATTATTCAAAATGGTCCCAGCATTCTTCCAATTTGTAGACATTGAACCTGGTAAAATGCCTAGCCCTAGGAAGCACTTGTTGCTTCCATTCCTTTCCAAACAAACAAGAGAACAGAAAATCAAACTGTACTTGGAAAAATACATAATACAGGCTTGATACACAAATCAAATCAGATCAGAAAGCAGACCTTTCTCAAACCATTCACACGTGATCACAAATGGAATCCAGACTCACCTCCTCCATCTCAGGTTCATAGCAATACTCCATCACCTTCCTAGTGACTCGCTTCTTGCTTTTCACTGAACTGGATGACTTGGAACCATCCACCTCCTCGACCTATGGTGAAAGGTAAAGGTCAATAAGCATGCCTTGCATGTATAATATTGGAAAAAAAAATTCAGTTATATAATACTAACAAACTTTATATTCGTCAGCATAATACTAAATACAATAAAATATTAAACATTAATCAGATGGATGGACAGTAACAGTCCAGAAAACTCAATCAAGACACCTTTTCAACTTCTGTCATAAAATAATCATCCATGGAATGAATCCGAGGGGCTTTTCCACCATTTGCAACCTCTAGATCACGTAATGCTTTTGCCACGTAGCTCTTTCCACTACCTAAAATCACATAACATAAAATTTAATTATTATAATAATCATTTTTTAGTTGGAAATTATCTGTGTCAAGTAATAATACCAGGCATCACATTCAACCACTTCTAGAAGGTACACTTCCAAAAGCAAGATATATATTCATTAAACACAACACGTGAAGCACATATCAGCATGCATGAGCTCCACATACATTTCTTCTTGTACAAAATTATAGCAAAAACAAACGAAAAAACAGAGGATCTATCCATTCTTACACTCTTTCTTGGGAATCATAAATATTTTTTGAATTATGAATAAAATAATCACCATAAATAATATTAAAATCATCATCAGGACAATATCATCAATATCACTTTCCAAAAAAATATTACTTTAAAAAAACATATCATCAATATCACTAATAATATCATGATCATTATTTATATTATCATTACTACCACTTCATAAACATTTTAGTACCATTAGTATTATTGCTATTTTACTATTTTTTATAGGTCGCAAATTTTATTTCATTTCCTAACTTTTTATGTATACAAAAACATTAACCTGTGGTATCATTATTATTATTATTATTATTAGCTCCAATAAAAAAGGAAAAGGACATGACTTTTCTGAAAAGTAAAATCAAATATTGACCAAACAAATTTTCAAAAATTCACCTGGAAGCCCACGAAGAATAATGACAAAATGATCTGGACGAGTAGATCGATGTGGATGCTTAAACAAAAGCGATGCATCAACAAACTTTGGCTTATCCGATTGAGTTAGCTTGGAATCAAAGGGTCTAGCATTGTCAATGAATTGCTTCAATGGGGCTTGATGGCTAGTTTGAGATCCCTAGAGTGCATAAAAAAGATATCAACAACCACAGCATATAAGTGATCACACATTATCAACTGAATACAAAATCAATAAGCATCAAGGCATGGAATTTATAAGACATTTATATGTAGAGGAAGTTTTATCCACAGCTATTAGTGTTGACGTAGAGGTTCCCAAAAAATTATGAGAATCCTCAACACAAATTCAATACACCATAGCCAGTGAAAGCCCAGAGACAACAAAGGCATAAACAACATCTGGTTGCTGCCTATAATACCTAAAGAAGCCCAGAAGAATCAGCTTCGAATTAGTTTATTATCATCTCAGAATCACTGACCACCATGCTAACCAAGACTTCCTAAAGTTCATGATGACCACAAAAAGTGGAAAACCATATCCATGGCACAAAGGATCGGCCGAACAACAAAAATCAAAATATTTCCCATGTCAAGACTCAACTGTTAAAAATACAATATACTTTTTATATCTAAAAGGAAACAATACCTCCAATGGAAAACCACTTGCAGCATTGTCAACAGGCTGTGGAAAAGAACAAGCTCCTGGAGGAAACTGGGCGTCTGAAAAAACATTAGCAGATTGCGCAAGAGATGAATGAAAAGCAACTGAAGTACTTTTAGGTGCTATAAAATTTGGCGAAGGTGCTGAAGCAGGAGCATGACCTTGAGATCGGAATAGAGTTGGTGGGTATTCTCCTAGAGATTGTGGCTGGGAAAAAGACTGAGGAGAATGAAACATCTGAGAAGCTCGGATGTGACTTGTCATTGCATGACCTTTAGGCATCACTGACAAGTCCCTTTGTCGATTATTATTTTGTGCGTCAGACGATTCAATCCCATGTATGTGTCGAGGTTCAAGAGCTCTTGTAACAGACGATGGTTGTGGGTGTTCCATCTGATGATTTGTATTATGTGTGCTAGCACCAAATCGTTTATCTTCCCCGGAAAAGTCAGATGGAACTGCTTGTAAGTTTTGCATTTCATGAGTTGGAAGGGGAGATCGAGAGCTATGTTGCCTAATCTCCATTGATAAATGGTGTTGGTGATCTTCTCCAGGTAAATGCGGCCTCAGCTGCTGCAAATTTTGTTCATGCCAGTAAGAATTACTTATTGGTTGCTCTGAGTTGTTCAAAGGAAGTTGGCCAAGATTTTGGGGGCCTGGAGGTTGTTGGCCTTGATCATTTTGTGTTTGATGCTTCTCATGATCTTGGGAAGCATGGTCCACAGTACGTGAAGGCCCATACTGCTGCTGCTCCATATTGCCATACTGCCTAACTAAAAGAGACGGATCCAGTCTACCCCACTTGTGGTAATTTTCTTCTTCTTGATGACTACCTACTGGATCATGGTTTTGCCTACTGGAAAAAACAGTTAAGTTTTCACCACTCCTCATAGATTCCATGCCTGAATGGACTCTTATGTATGCATCAGATGATATATTGTATTCTCCTTTTTCACTTTGATTGCCATGATCATCTTGTGTGTTCTCATTTTGCATATCGTAGAACGCACCCTCGCTATAATGATGACTGGATGGAATCTGATGGCTATCATGCAACTGATGTCTCAAAGGAAAGTGGTGACCATCATACACTCTATTCTGAGTTGATGGGTCCTGTGAGGAGAACACTGAACCACCTGAAAAACAGTTATCAAGCACACCTAACTGTTTTGGTGGCAATTTTATCGATGAAGAAGTAAAATGCATAGGGTTAAACTGATTCATATTAGGGGGGACACCTCCAATCGATTCATGAGGCAGCCCTACCCCAGAGCTCCTACGATGTTCAACTTTGTCACTCCAATGGTAAACGTTCCCTCTAAAATTATAGTCGGACCCAAAAACCCCACCATCGTCACAGTTTAGCGATTGATTCTCAGTACTTTCATTAACCCTCGTTCCCAAATGCTTGTCCCTTTCAACAACATTCATAGGAATCCTAGAATCAAACAAGCCTTCCTTCCCATAATGAAATGGGGGCTGCCTCAATGGATCTGAGTTCCCAATGTGACCACTGTGTGCCCTATGATACCTATTGAAATGCAACGAGTCTTGCTCGAATTTTATCATTCCTTGACCATAGGATTCAAGTGGCCTGAGATTGTTACTCTCAGGCGTCGGAGGAAAAGAACCCAGATTTTCAATCTTCATCTTCTTAGGAAATCTCTCAGGAAATGCTTCTTCTCCATATAGCCTGACCCCCATCAATGGATCCACCAAAGCGTTTCTTGACTGCATATTAGGCCCAGGAACCACATCTGTTTCAGATGGATTCAAACCTTGTGGACCTCGAAAACCCACTCCAGACTGCAAATTCCCCTCCCTCTCCAAGAACCCGTTTGCAAATCGGGATTCACTTCTATGGAACATATCCCCTCCACCTTGGTTGAAATTCGAAGGGCCACTATATCGATACTCTGCCTGCCTTAGATGTTCTTTTGGTTTCATCATGTAAGACTCGGGCAGTGATGAACCTGCGTGAATTTCATGATGGAAAGGGCCAGGAGCTGCCCGAATTTCATTATGAAAATAAGGCACCATTCTCGATGGTTGGTTGTTATAATGGGGAGGAACTGACAATATAGAACCAGTTCTATTTTCAAAACCAGGCATCATTGAATTATAGTCGTGCCCATGAGGATTGAAAACAGGCTTTGGACCATTGAAAGGATTAGGGTTTTGCATGTTGTTCGCTACATGCATTGGATGAGGCTCCCTAATCATATGACTGTGATTGAAACCATGGTGTTGTGAACAAAAGGGGAAATGTTGAGTTGAACAGATAGGGCAGAGATTACCTCGACCTGGTCTGAACCCCCAAGATTCATCCATGAGTATGAAATGAGAGGATTTCTACATTTATGCACAATGTGGAAGGAAGAACATTTGCAAAAATTAGGGCTCTAGAATTCCCAAGTGAGATAATTAATTACCTGAACAAGTCCCCTCCACTACAATTCCTCCAAGAATGCGAAAGCATAAAATTCTAATGCTTCGCGTAAAGAGAAATGCCCATCCAAGTTAGCGTTTTAAGAATCCAAAGCTTCTGCAACTCTAACAGTTGACAGGAGAAGAAATCTGGTTTCAGGTATCAAAACTTTTAGCCTGTAGGTCCTTTTAATCACTCAGACCTTCTGCAGCTCTAAAGGCCACCATAACTAGGGTTTGAAGAACGTTATCAGTTGGATGGACAGTTTGGCTTTTCTGCACCAGTGTTTCACAAACCCCTCATGAATAAAGTGGCGCTGAAAAATGGTTCCTGCAATTACGTTCCTGCAACTCTAATGGCTTCTTCTCTGTTTTGCAATAATTAGGGTTTCCTATAGTGAAAGCTCCTCAACTGTAATTGGCTGTATTTTTATTCTGGTGGGAAAGCTTGCGCTTTATAGCGAAAAGACGGATTGATATTGAAATTCATAGTAGTTAACGCCCCTATCCTCGTGTAATAACGTTATTTAGAAAAATGTTTACGTCAAAGTATTGGAAAACTTTTTAATCGATCACCTTCGCTTTTTTGCAAAAAAATAAAAAAATAAAAATAAAAAAAAATAAAAAATTGGATTTTAAGCCTTAGAAAAGTTTGTTGAAACATATTATTAAGAATGTCCATTTTGTTTTAAAAATAAATATTTACAAATTCATAAAATTTATATATTTGATGAGCTTCAATTTTATAATTGGTATTGAAAATTCATCTGAATGCCCAAAATACTTTTTAAGAACTCCAAAAGAGGCTTTACTGTGTTTTCATAAAACCTAGCCTTCTAGAAATTGTATTATTCGAATTTCTTTTTTCAAAAATTATAAAAATACTGATATGAAGTTTTTGAAGTCCCTTAAGTGTGTTCAATGGCCAAAAATACTCCCAAACCATAAAAAACCGTAAAAATAACTCCACATCTTGAAGATCTGAAGTTTAGCTAATCAAAGTACCCAAGTTTTTGCTCCTCTTGTCAAGTAAAAACTTCGATTTTCAAAATCCAAAGTTTTGTGTAGAAGGAAAATACATATACAAATTCAAATTTGTTGATGCACAAAAAATTCCAGTAACAACTTTGGATTTAAAAACTGCAAAGTTTGACGGACCATTTTTCTCTTTTCCTTTCTTTTTTTTCAAGTTAAAAAATTCAAATTTTGAGAATATGGAGTTTTTCTTTTTTAATTTTTTTTTAGGATAAATTTTTAGAGGTGATAATTTTTGTCAAGTAAAAAACATTTGATTTTGAGAATTCGAGGTTTTTTATTTTTTGAGGCATATAAGGGGCGAAATACCATAAAAGGAAATTAGTTTGAGAACTTTAGATTATCGAAATCCGAATTTACAGCATTTTTTGGAAAAATGAAAAAAGCAATTGCTTATGAATGTAATGTTTTTATCTTAGGGAGAGTTTGGGTAATAACAGTAAATTAAAAGGGTAGTTTCATACTTTTTTAAAACAACATTATAAATACAGGACCATATCACTAAGATAAATTTACGTATTGACACTATTAGGGGTCAATTACAAAAAGTGATCACGTTTGTCCCAAATACAAATGGCAGACACTATTATTTTTTTCGTAAGTTTCCCTCCTGTCTGGCAATGCAAATATCCGATAAGAGAAAGGCTAATTTTTTTCAAAATAAAAGAATTGCCCAGCATTTGAATTGTTGTACAACTCTCTAGGGGATTGAGGCTAAACCAGATAAAAAGGTTTAGTCGAGAGATTGAGAAATAGAGAGGTTGGTAGTTGGGAGAAGGAAAAGTCAGGTGAGAAAGAGACGGTAATCATAGCATAGAAAAGCTCGAGATAAAGAGGGAAACATGCAGAGACAAAGAGAGGTTGGAACTTGAGAGAGGAGTTTTTTTTGCAGGTGAAGGATATTGTTCTTGTTGCACCTTTGTATGCATGCAGAATACTCATTTCAGAGGGGGTGTTCCAGAGAGGCGAGGAAGGTGTTTTAGAGAGAGAGGATTTTTTGAATACTCAAGTGGTTTCTACTAATCAATCCTCATTATATAGAGAAAAAGTGGGGTTTTCATAAGTGGGAAGCGCTTCCTCATATAGAAGAAACAGTCTAAACACCACGTACTTCTATCTTATGTTTCTTTTCTCTATCATGTCCCTCTCTCTCTTCGCACATCTTTATTGGGAGCGAGAAACACTATCTATTTTTTCTCTGTAAGCTTTTTCTTATTTTCTCTCTCTAATCTCTTATCTTATGGGAGAAATAGTCTAAATGTATTTTCTCTCTCCTTTTTATACTGAGAGAAGGAAGAAGAAAATCTACTAATTTGTTGCTGTTAGTTTTTCTTTCTCTTCGTTTCTGTATCTTCTATTTTTTGGCTTTTATTTATTTTGTTTTCTTTTAGGGGAGGGTGACCAAGGACTTGCACTCTTTTGTAACTATAACACATTGTGGAATGGACAGGATGTGGGATTTGAATTGGTGGCAACTGGGAAGGGTATCATGTAATAAAAATTGGGGGGTTTTTGGTTAGATGTATTTAGAGATATGCCTCTTTCTCTATAACTTTATCATAGGTATATAGAGTTGTCCGGTATTTTGAACACCAGATAGTTCTTTTTATTTTGAAAAAAAGCTGCCCTATTATTGTTCGGTATTTGCATTGTCGAACAAGATGGCAACTTAGAGAAAATAAAAAATAAAACCGCGAGAGGGGAGTGTCACCTGTAATTTGAAACAAACTTGATCCCATTTTGTAATTGACCCCAATAGTATCCGTACGTAATTTTATCTATCACTAAAGCACTTGGCAAGGCTATGCTGCTTCTGCGTGATCTTGGCCCGGCTTGTTGCTTGCCCTAACAATAGCCCACCCCAAATCGGGCACCGCTATGAAGTGCAAAATGCAGTTTCAACTTTAATATCCATAACAATGGCCTAAAAATATTTTTGGAATTTGTTCATAAATATTACTTATTATATTATATGAAATTTAAAAATTATTATGCTCAAATCTCACTTTTAATGTACATTTTAATTTAAAATTGTTATAATTTGGATTGAACTCAAATTTTGGGTGCCCGTCTTCTCACTGCAACGCAAAACATAAAAATTTTAACCAAAAAGGAGCAAAATACCTCTAAAGTTTGTACAAATATTTTGATAAATGTTTTTATTTAAGTAATTTTTATTTTTATTTTGTACATATGTCTAATGCTAAGATATTGCCACTCCCAAGCAGGTCAGGCAGATTTCCAGCTATAGACAAGTCCACTATTTCTTTCCAATTAAATTAACAACTAAAAAGTTCGTATTTTAATTAGTTGAATTAAACCTTATCAACTAAAGAAAATTTAACCGTTTATTTCTGATTAATTCAACTGAGCACATGATGGTTTTTTTTTTTTTGCTTGAATTAGACTAATCTGTAACCCAATTTTCAGATATAAGGTTTGGAAATTACCAAAACCCAATAATCGATAAAAAAAAATTAGAAAAATGAAATACTTCAAATTAGTTACTACTGATGATTTCACAATATGCTTCAACCCTATTTTTCCTTAAAGTTCGAGTGTTTATTCAAGAAAAGTCCTTCGATGAGACCTTAATAGCATAGGGTTACATAGTGAAATAATTTATGAAATATCCTCTATTTATTGAGGAGAATAAAATACAAAGACTAATCTATTATGAACACTGCCCTTGACTTAGTTCATCCATTTAATCATATTTACACATTTAAATCTCAAACAAGTGAACGAGACTAAATTCACAAGAATAATACACAAATATTTATAAGACATTCGGGAAAAGTTATACATTCAAAATAAATTGATTGAAGCAACAACTCTAAATGTTGATCACAAGAAACGAAAATAGAGAGATACAGAAAATGGAGGGAGTGACAGGTACAAAGAGAAAAGAACTAGTGTTGGTTTTTTTATTTTTTTAAAGCTTTTTTGTGATCCATTCCGGACCTCAAATTTGCCTTACAAAACGTTTATACAAATTTAAAACACTCTTAAGTAGTACATTTGGAACTCTTTTAACGTTTGGCACAACAATTTAAACAAAGAAAACGTGATTATGATTAATAATAGAGTACTTCAATTTTTAATTTGGCGGGTGTTGGAAAACAAAAAGTCTTCATATACTACATCGACTTGGTGAGAGAGATATATGAGGGAGTACTAATTAGCATACAAACAACTAATGGAGATACGAGTGAGCTTTCAGTGACAATAGACCTACATCAGAAGTTAGCATTGAACCTCTATCTATTTGTCTTAGTTGTGGACAAGTTAAGTAGGTACTTACAAGATGAGGTATTTTGGTTCATATTGTTCGCGGATGACATAGCTTTGATAGATGAGACCCGAAACAGCGTCAAAACAAAATTAGAAATTTGGAGGGATGATCTAGAATCTAAAGGTTTTAACATTAGTTGGACAAATACATAGTATATAGAATAGAAGTTTAGTAATAGTATGATACAGACGATGAAGTAGTTAAGATTGACAGCAAAAAAATACAAAAAAATAACACACTTTCGATATCTTAGGTTGATAATTCAGGAAAATAGAGAGATTGAGAAAAATGTCACACGTAAATTAAATTTGGATGGGCGAAGTGAAGATGTATAACCGGAGTGTTATATAATCGTTGCATATCAATGAAGCTGAATGACAAGTTCTATAAGACAATTGTGAGACTAGTTTACTTTATAGGGCAGAATGTTGAGCGGTCAAAAAACAACATACCTATAAAATGAATCTAATTGAGATGGTGATGTCGAGATGGATGAATAGTAAGATATATAATTCAAAATAAATATATTGGGGAGTATTTAAGCATGACGCCAATAGGCGATAAGATGAGAAAAAGTGGAATTAGGTGGTTGGCTATGTGTTCGCATACTCAGTACAACACCTCTTAAGAAGTGCAAGTTAATTCAAGTGGAAGGCTAAAAAGAACAAAAGGTTGACTTAAAATGATATGGTTGGAAGTAATAAAAACAAATATGAGGACTAGTAGCCTCACTGACGCTATGACCTTTAATAGCAAAATGACAAATTAAGATTCGTATAACCGACCCCAACTAATTAAAAAAAACTTTAATAAAGATAATAACGACAATATTCTTTATATACCATTTTTACCTATAAAAAGCACAAATTAAAGCATACAATGCACATTCTATTGCTAGTGTGTATGTATACACACAAAACTTTCACCTTTCACCTCTCTCTCTCTCTCCCCCTTGAATCAAGACATTTTTATCCTCCATCCTCCCTCTACCACATTTTCAAGAGTTTTATAAATGTCGAGTGACGCCGTGTGATCTCCCTCATAAAATTTATTTGGTTGGATGAATTCCCCCTTTTATTGCTATCATGTTGTTCATGGAAAAGATCTAAGTAGGAAAACAAGGCATTTTTCAACAAACGAAATATTTCAGTGGTATTTTTTAAAGGAATTGTATAGAGCATTTACCTTTTATATAGAGTGGTCATAATTCCTTACAACTATTTTATGTGTAATTTGATAGCTTGGACGTGTCATAAAGTTCGAATTTTTTTTTTTCGAAATTTGAGCTTGATCAATGGAATAATTGCAACCACCCAACTTTACATCCAATGGTCAAGATTATTGTGACCGTATGAAAGATAAAAGGTAAATTCTATACTTTTCCTTTTAAAATCAGTGTTTAAAAATCACTAATCCAGATTTGGAATTGACTTATTCGAACCGGTTTTGAAAGGTAACGGCCTGGTCTCTCCGAAACCCCCTATTAATTATTCTTTTTATTTTTTTTAACTTGTCTAATATTTTTTTATGTTGTCCCTAACTCACACCAAACACCAACAACACCCCCTCCGACCCCACTAAAATGATGATATTACTGAATATTATAGAAGCAAATGTATTTCTAATTGTAGAAGTTAGCGACCATGTTTGATAAGATCAAATCGTACTATGATATAACTTAAGAACCGCTTAATATCTCAATCCTGAAGAATTCAGCTAGGGCTTGAAATTTCCATGATACTAAAAATTGTATCAGGCGGCATTCTATTTTCCGTCACTCCACGACGGGATGCAGTTTGCTCTCTCTCTCTCTCTCTTTCCAAAATAATGTCTTCTTGTTAGTAAATCCATCCAAACCACTATCTTTTATTTTGTCTCTCTCCTGATCCACCATTTTCCGGCAATTTATCTCATCGGAAAATATCCTAATTTGCAAGAAAAGCTACCCACCTTGTCGAAAAAATTATTTGAATCGGTTGAACACTGACTCAAAAGTACTGGAAAATGGACCCTCACTGCCTGCACTAACTAGAAAAGTGACCCAACTAATCGAAAAAGTCATCCACTTCCCCAAAAAAGTCACCCGCTTGGCCGGAGAACAAACTTGATTTGCCAGCAAAGTAATCCCCCGCCAGAAATTTCTGTATTTTAGAGGGAATTCGAGCTCAAATTGCCTAAAACTACTCCATTTTTGCTGGAGTTTGTACAACACCGGAATTTGTATAAGCACGGCCACAAATTTGTATAAGCACGGCCATATCATCAATGGAAAGTCCTGCTAAATAGTAATCTCCTATAGGGAAATCGCATGAAATTTGGCCATGAAACACGTGAAGAGCCATTGTTTATTCGCCTTTGATCTCTAAGATATAAATAGGGATTGGCCGTTCCGAAAGGCAGCCATGGCCACTTCCAAAATTATATATCAGGTTAGTATCTATTTCAGATATATCTGAAAAACCCGCAATGGCATTATCCAAAATTTTGAATATTCAGATTTTGTTTTTGTCATACAGACCCTTACATATTTTATTTATTTACTTTTTTGGGATCACCAATTTGGATGCAATCCAATGTCGATTTATGGGGTGGACGATCCACCCCACCCATCCGGGATTCAAAACACTTTGCGCATAAATGCCAAAAATGCCATTTTTTAGGAATGTGTGGGAGAAATCTTTCAAGGAATAATAAAAAAGTGCGGTTTAAGGTTGCAACCTTAAACAATTCAATTAAGGTTCACCTCCTAATTTTACTTGATTTTGTTGTAAAAAAATCGTAGAATTATCTTAAAATCTATTTTCATATCTAATTAGAAAATTTTAAACTCCAAAAATGGTTAAAATCCAAAAGATCTATAAACATATGAAAATCTTGAATATGGACGGTCTCGATAATGTATTGCAAGGCATTATTTCTGAGACTTAAAAACTTTTTTTTTTTAATATTCATACATCTCGATGTCGAGATTATCACATAGAAGGTTTTCCAACATTAAAACAACCTTGCCGATAGTTTTTTGAGGTGCATTTGTAATTCAAGGTTGCAACCTTATAGAAACTTTTCCCATAATAAAAACCATGAATTCTCATCACACATACATTTCTTCCTTCATATACGTTTGATCAATCGATCATGAAAAGCTAACATAAAATTGCTTCCATGGATTTATTTTTGCCTGTATCCAGCCTTCTAGGGCTGCTATATACTGGCAAATTCTATACATGAGCCTTCCAACCCAGGTCAAAAAACAAATAAACTCCAATATTCTTCACATTAGGAATACAAATTTCTCTCTCTAAAGAGAAACTGGCATCAATCACAAGTACTTGATGGAAGCAGTCATAGAAGCAGTCCTGCCGAGAGAAAAAGCTCCATTATCAGTAAAAAGAAAAGGAGACATTTTCTTTCCTGTAGATACTCAAAAGAGAAATAAAGCATGAAATGGAGGGATAGCTTTCTTCTTTTATATAGTAATGCTTACGAAGTTAAAGATGAAGAAAAGTGACTGGCATGGGAATTGTATCTCAAACCTGTTGAGGCATCTAGGGTTCTTGTCCAAGCTATCGAAGTTGTTTTCGTGGACTGCATTTGTCTTGGATATGTCGATGTTCCCAGACTCAATATCTGCAATACCTTGTAGACCCTGTGGGGGGAAAGAACGGAAATAAATCAAACTAAAAATCAATTGAGTTCATAGGCGATAGGACAATAATTTCGACAAGCTTTAAAAAAGGAATCCTATGTTAGATCTCCCATGCTACTAGTAACAGTGTCTAAAAACAGGGACTCAAGCTTGGATTTGCCAGGGTCCAGAGCCTGAGTCACCGAGTCAAATTTGCCAAGGCCTAGGGCAGTGATGTTCTAACACAAAATATAGGGTCTAGGATCCAACTCGAGGCAATTTCCAAGGCCTGCCTCTGTACTTGCCAGAGACATGACTGAAGCAGACTCATGCAAGTCCCGAGCCGGGTCGGCAATTTTTGTAACTGTCCTAGTTAGAGAGAGAGAGAGAGAGAGAGAGAGAGAGAGATCTAAACTTGAAAGTATAGACTGAAATGGGACTGAGAAGAACAATTTTTTTTAAACAAACATCGTACCTTCACGGTCTCACTCTTTGGAAGTTCCAAAGGGCGCCTGTTTGCAGGTTTAGGTAGGCCCTGTGACAGTAAACCAGATATAAGAAAGTCACAAATATCATCAACCCTAAACCACATATAGGAAAGTAAAAACTATGCTACACCAAGTTCATTACAACTCGAGAGACTCCCCATTACCGATACATCTACACTCACAAATGTTATCAACCCTAGAACACCTATAACAACACAATAATCAATAGAAGATGCTACACCAAGTTCATTACAACCATAGTTATTGGGATCACCCAACCCAAGTGGCCATCGCACACTAGAATTTCGCAGCAGGAATGGGATCTTTAAGGGATCTCTATTTTTGAATTTTGAGATCTCAATCCAACATCTATGCCCACTACTAGGGATCTCAATCCATACCTTAAGGATCAAGATAGCGACTAGAGTCATGATTCTCTTTATTTACAGCCAACTAGCAATTCAACTGGCTATAGCTACAGAGATCCCTAACCGTTTAATGTCATAAGGGAGATCCCTAAAAGGTTGGGATCTCAATTCCCAAAAGGTTGATCTCAATCCACAACACATTAGGACCGAGACCCCAAGCATATGCATTCTAGCCTTCCATGATTCCCACTCCCGATCCCAACAACTATGTTTACAACTCAAGATAAATAATAAAGTATACATTCTCCCCATTCATGTTCTCATTCTTTAATTTTTCTTTTTGCAGTGGACAAAGCAATTAGAACAGAGTATTCTGGAGCCATTTGATTATTTTTTCAAATTCTAACACACCAACCCAGAAAGCGTTTGGTTTAAGGAACTCTATGAAACTAGTTCCAAGTAACCAGTGTGATTATGTTTTCTGAGAGACGCAGGCCAGACCAGCTCCTGTCTACTATAATAGCTCAATGCAAAGGCATGATTTGTAACTAACTCAAAAACCATAGAAGGTAGGAAAACAAAACCATTAACCTCGTAACTTTCGAACGAACCTGGAAAAATTTGGCCATTTCAGGATCTTTTGCTCCTCCAACAAACTGGCACAAGTACAACACTCCAGCATTTGCATAGTCCTGTTAACAACAATTCATCAGCTGCCTACAAAAGAGGAAGGCCAAGGGAATATAAAAGTCTACTGTAAATCAGGACGCTGAATGCTAGAGAAGCTGGAAACTGAAAACATATTTCAATCAGGAAATGGCAATGGGGACCAAAAGAATTGGTGCCAGTTAATATCCATGATGCTGAATCCTAAAATATTTGTTTGATTGTTTCTTTTCTTTCCCTGACAGGAATGGTGACACATCTGTTCTCTTAAGAGGGATTCCAGTTTTCACTAACACAAACATATGTAGATAGTTGCTTCAGAACTTTGCTTCAGCCCGGAGCCTAGTAAAATAGAGCCTATGTTGCAAGCTCAAATCAGACGATTGCCAAATAAAATAAACTTAAACTCTTAAAGGGAAATCAAAGCAAAATAAACACACCTTAACTGAAGACCAAGCTTAAAAAAAAAAGAAAAGAAAAAAGGTTCAAATAGCATAGAAAAATGATCAAAACATAAACAACAATTCTTCGCTCAAATCTGGAGTCTTAATAACACAAACTAACCCACGATCTGACAAAATCTATGTTAACAGAAGGAAAACAAAAATTATCATTTATTGAACCTTTTTTTATTTAAAGATAAAAAAAGCGATGCGGATCGAGCAGATATATAAACAATTAATTTTTTTGAAAAGGGATGGTCCAGATAATGCATTCCAGCACCATTTTCATGACTTGAAATCTTTTTTGTTTTTCCTCATATCCATACATCTCGAGGTCTAGGTGATAAATTTGAGAGTTTTTCAGCAACAGAATAACCTTTAATGATGGGTTTTTGAGGTGCACCTTACTTCAATAGTATAAAGTTAACACCTTATATAAACTTCTTCACACACACAAACACACACACATACACACACACATATATATACATGTATGTATGTATGTATGTATAGGGAGTTCAGCAATAGGAATCAATCTAGTGATGCAGCGTTGCACTCGTCAATTGCTAACCAATCAAGCCAAGCCCAATTCATAAAATCCTTTCAGATAGACTGAGAAGGAACATGCAGTACTTATTACAGGGGCTGTGGAATATCTTAGCATCGTGGAGGTCAGAGAATATCTAAACAATCATAGTATAGCTTCACTGAAAACGGCAAATCTCAAGGCACTGCTCAACTATCCATGAGAAATGAAGAGAGCCGCACCTGTTTGTCCTCCAAGGAACAAATCTTCCCATCCTGTGACAAGAACAGTGTGATTAGAAATGGAATATAAACCATCAACAACCCTGTAAGTTATTCGTCCCAGATAAGTAATAAACTTACCAGACCAGAAACCATTCTCTGCAGAGCATCTAAGTCAAAACCAATTAATTTAAGATCATTGCTGATCCCAGCAACCTGTTTAACATATTTTGCAATCATCAGAAATAAACAAGTTCATCTTAAGCAACCTAACCAAATCAGAATATAAGGAATTATCCACGCATATAAAGCCCACACTAATGCTACCTCATTTTGTATTGATTCTGTCATTTTTTTCTGACTATCCAGCTTGTTATTCAAGCCCTCAATTCGCTGTGCCAATTGCTTCTTTGCGGCCTAATCAACAAAGGATGAATGTTAGTATTAAACATCTCTCAACCATTCTGAATATCTGTAATACCAAATCAATCAGTGTCTGAAGGCCTGCATCTGATGATGTCCAAAACTAAGGGGAACTCTAACCATCGTTTGCAGTTTCACCAATTAAAACTTTTAAAAAGAACCTAAAATCCAAGTTTGGATTGTCAGGAAACTAGCAACCAGGCACGTCGCACAGAAGACAGTCTCTAAATGCTACAAGGACACTAACATTAAAATTTTACTTACACGGTGGAAAAAGGTCCCTTCCCGTGTGAACTATTATTTCAATTCAAAACTTAATAACGATTATGTGAATCTACAATGAGAAAATTCAGTTTAGAGACTCCACATAGTATATTAACAATCATAGATATTTGGAAGTAATTTTTTTGTTTCTTGAAAGATTATTTATTTAATGAAATCAAATATTCAAAAAAATTATCAAAGAAAAAAATTCTACTTTGTTTTTTCTTTTAAAATAAGTTTCTGGTAGATGACCTTATCTCCAAGTATCTTAAAGAACATACAAAAACACCAACACTAATTTTAAATGCCCCATAAAGTACACAGAAGAGTGCCCTATGCTGTTAAACATTTGAAAATCTAGAGGAGGAATATCACAAGGAACCACCTCTAGACAGAACAAGCATCAATCTCACTACAATATGAAAAGGGGATGAGACAAGAAAGCAGACCCACTTTTAGTGAACATCCCAATCCCGAAGGATTTTGGATAATTCAGTGTCCACACAGAGAACAGAAGCAACAAGTATGCCATTTTTTGTTGTTTGGAAACATTCAAACTGAAATTAAAGCAGTGTAATTTAGAAAAGTGCCCTTTGAATGAAGAATGTCTGCTAACTATGATGTTTTAAACATACAGCGAGAGCTGAAGAGACTTGTTCGAGATGCTTTGTCATGTTTGCTACAGCATTTGACATGTTACGCTTGGTCACATACATCATATCAGAGAAGGAAATCCCCTGAACAATTACAAAACAAGCAAGAAATTAGTCACTGCAGAACATTTTAGATGGCTTACCAACAAAAAGTTAGGAAATTAGAAACTTTATCTAAGCAGCTGAAACTCAAAACCGAAAGCTCTCAACTAAATAAGATGGTTTTTACCAGCCAACTAGATAGGTGGTTTGAAATTAAATTTACAGAGCAAGTAAAATAAATTGTCACCAACAAACATAGATGGCAACGGTCACCACTGACAAATTTCTATGAACAGTGAACCTCAGCAGGTCTAAAAGAAGAAATCTAGAGACACATAGGCTGACAAGTGATTAATAGGTTGTTTCCATCCATGACAATTTTAGGATTCAAATATAAGTGAATCCTTTAAGAAATACATTCCAGTTCCAGTTCAGATTTCATATACGAGGGAAAAAAACATATGTATGAGAAAAAAGGCATACTTTCCACCACATGTAGCAATAACCCAAGGCCCCTAAAGCAGCAGCTGGCATCACAAGTGTTGCAATGGTCCCTGATGAAAGAAAAATTAACATCGACTATAGAAGAATATAAATCATAATAGTGCTGCAAAGAAGGAGAAGTAAATATTTAACAACCAAATCCATAAATAAATTGCAACTACTACTCTACCCCATGCGACAGATGGGCACATAAATGAGAGAGAAAGACGGTTACCTATTTGAAAGTAAATATCTAGGACAAAAATTATATGTGGGAAGAAATGTTAATGCTTATAATTTATTTTGAAAACATAAGTTTTAAATTTTGATTCTATTTATTCAAGCATTTATGTGGTTATTGAGAAGAAACTAGTGATACACATATACACAAATCTATAATTTTTCCCAACTTGAAATGAATAGGACAGACTTGGATCCTGGAGAAAGCCATTAATACAGTGCAGGTGATAACTTCAGACAAAGATTTATTAAAGGAACTTTCAAAAATTTGTTGATTATGTTTCAGAGTTCCAAAAAGTGATTACCTTGGCTTGAATTTCCATTGAGAACTGTAATAGGGCGTGCTGTGGCCAAGTGTCGAACCTCCAGCGCTAGACGGCGGACCTACATCATTCAAGTGGAGAAAATTCACAACTTACTTAGCTATATATAGAAAAATAAGGCATCATACACATAAAATAGACTTTTACGAGTAGAAAGACTCCCATAAGTATCTACTACCACTAGGCAATACCACATGTATATATCCAAGCAATGGCTGTTTCGCTACTAAGCACATTCCCCCATAGAAATCGGATAATTATGACACTCACAAAACAGATAAATACCATAGAACATATTGAGAGAAAAAAACAGCATCAATTCTTGCCTCCACATCCCCAATCAAGAAACAAATAGGAACAGCACACCATGTGTCCCTTGGGCCCTCTATATGTCACAAGATATATAAGGTTGGAAATACTGAGCTTATCTCTTTCTCATAGCCAAGAGGGAAGCAAAATGAATCATCATCATCATCATTTTAGCCTTTTCCCAATTAATTGGGGTTGGCTACATGAATCTTGGTTCTCCATTCTGCTCTATTAAAGGCCAAATCCTCAAGTGAGGCCATTAGTCCCCATATCTAGGGAAGCAAAATAAATAAAAGACAGGAAGCTGCTTTGACTCTCTTGAGTCATAAACGAGCTTACAGAAATTGCTCAAACAATACACCCAGCTTCATATAGATAAGAGGATCTACAAGGTCATGGAGTATAAATGACCAATATGGGAAACTACCACTTGTACAGATAACGGTAACAGTTCACACTACCAACATAATATAACCCTTACATGTTACAAAACATATATAAGAAAAAGAACACGATAAATTTTGCAATGGTACATGTTCGTCAACTGAAAGTTTGACATGTTAACTCTCCACACTCGAGAACAAAGGACACATCTGACAAGGTCCATCCTAAAAACAACAAAAGATTCACCATCATAATGATTCAAAGTACTTCTTATCTACAAGCAATGCTTTTTTTTGGAAGAACACTTTATCAAACTTAGATGGAAAGGAAAAACTCCATCAATAAAAGTCTCTCCATAGAGAAAATATGCAAGTAAGGGACGGGGGAACTTAATGAAATTTATGCTTTTTTTTGGAAGAACACTATATCAAACTTAGATGGAAAGGAGAAACTCCATCAATAAAGTCTCTCCATAGAGAAAATATGCAAGTAAGGGATGGGGGGACTCAATGAAATTTTAAATACACTCTAAGAGTTCAATGGGCCATAACAGCAGGTGGAATCCTGATGCTCACCTTTGAGAGTAGCTCCACTGCAAACCCAAGCCAATCGGGCATATCAAATATCTCTAGAGACATGATTGTGTTACAGGTTTTCACAGGGCTTGAGAGTACCAGCATCAAATGAGACAAAGGTAAGTAGTCTCCTAAAAGTCCTCGGGGCCTTCTCCCCTTTTTCCTCAAAATGATTAATAGAGGGTGAGTCACATTACCATATGTGAAGAGAGTATCAACCTGTTACGACTTCCCCGAAATATAACATTAATCATTGCAACACAAGGAATGATCTTGCCCTAACATGTGCCTATTATTCTTTTTTTTCTTGTTTTTGAGAAATGAGCATGTGCCAAATATTCAAGGACGTCAAAGACTCAAAGTGGATCACATTTTGATCAATTGCAACTTCCAACACTTCCAAGTATAGCAGAGAAGTCTGGTTAAGAAGACAGCAATTTTAAATTAGTTTATAGTGGTTTAGGTTATGCCTAATTCATTTTCTAGCCTTTTACAGGCTTTGAGAGGTATCATCCATAATAGAATAGGCACCTTCATATGCTGGTCAGCACACTATTAGAAATGTGCGGTAGGATATAAAAGCAGACCAACATGAATCACCTATGTAGAGACAATAGTCGGCATTATCTTAAGGAGCTCATCGTATTAACTAGACAAAAACATGAAAGATATTTCATAGAGAAATGTAATGGTAGTCAAAAGCAACCGAATAGGCTCTCAGAGCTCTAAGACAGCTGCCTCGAAGTAAGGCAGGTCAACTCTGCCTCAAAAGGAGATGCCTAAGGCACTTGTCAATAAGCAGCTAGATGCCCACCTAGGAACTTGGATTGCCTGGTAAAAAGTTACCTTCAGGTAGAAATTAAATTCAGAACAAGTTGATGTAGAAAACTAATGCAAGAATGCCTTGCTTTCTTATGAAGCTCTATTGTATCTGCAGCCATCTCCTAAACATTTAGCACAAGTTGAACATGAAAATATCGGTTGTCCTTGCAGGAAAGCGTATTTGTAAAGTTACACCCAGTTAAAACAGATGAAAGAATATAAGCTTTGTTATAGTATGATTAGTAATGCTGGACAGTGTGATATACCAGGCACCTACTTTTCGGTTCATAAGCAACTAAGCTAGTATGATTACTAGTGATGGACAGTGTGATATACCAAGCAAATCCTTCTAGCTTCATAATCAACTAAGCAAGCTGTAGACACCCCCCTAGAAATTCTGGCTAAGGGACTTCCTATAAACCTCAACTTCTAAGTCCTAAGACCACACTAAGCCTAATGAATCATAGTGAACCTAGACTCATTATAATTGTCCGAAAGTCACCCAAAACCTATCCTAATACCCCAATATTGTAATCTTAGATAACCCTGAGGCTTGAGCCTACTGAAACATAGAAAACTGACCCAAACACCAATTCGACACCTAGAAACCCAAAACCGAGACCTTGAAGTCCTAGCCTTGTACACCCTTGCAAGGTAACTCAAATTTAATCAAATTTGGTTCTAAATTATAGAGGTCACAAGCTTTCTAATAGTCCAAGAATTGGTTGAATCTAACTTAGGGTATAAAGTTATGGCCCGAACAAAATTGTTCAAGAAAATGATGATTTGGTCTTTTTCCCAGTCACTGCCCGTTTTGTTTTAAAGATATTTTGTTATGTAATTTGTTTTCCCCTACCTCTTCTGTACTCTGAGCACCCACTTGTGGGCTGCTTACACCATATAACAGTGGTTCTTTTTGTACTTTTGTTCTATTTCAATACCTAAAAAAACAAATTTAATGATTTGGTCCCTAGCACGAGCCTCGGCCACTCATGGACCGCACCAGTCTCCACAACTCGCACAGGCCCAATGGGCCAGAGTTGGTTCAGACCTTCTAGAAACTCCCCGCGTAAGCTTCTTGAGGGGGGTTTTGAACAGGATAACTCAAAAATGACATTTTTACCCCTTCACACTTGGATCAAGGCTCTAATTTCAATCCCTCAAACATCAACAATACCCCTGGGCTAGGTCTATATTAACCCCTCTCAATAATTCCATAAAATCATCTCGAAATCCTGAAAAATCCCTAGAAAGCCTAGAAAATTAGGAAAATTAGAAAATTCGTCAAAAAATATTCAAAAAATAGGAAAATTCCCAAAACCCCTAGAAAATTAAGAAAAACCTCTAGAAAATCAGGGAAAATTCCGAGAAAATTCTCTTAGGCTCTATAAACCCTAGATCTAGGAAAAAACCTAAGCTAGAGACCCTACGCCTCATATTCTTTCAAATATTTTCTACAAAATTCCCCCAAAATCAAAAACTAGGAACAAGATCTCCTAGATCCAAAACCTTTAAAGTCGTTCTTTAAGAAAGAAAAAGAATGCACCAAAGGTGTAAATCAACCCGCAGTCCTGATACAAGCCCCAACTCTGGGTTTTTCAAGGTATGTAATCTTCCTTTCTCCTTTATTTATATCTTTATTTTTTTTGTTTATTTCTTGATTCCTTAGTTTAATTTAGAATTAATAGCTTTGTATGATCTCGTAGGTGAGATTTACAGCTGTTGTTGCGAGAGTGCCAGTAGATCCATAAAAGGTCTGACCTGTCAAGATTTGTACCAGTTTTGGATCTATAATTTGAGCGGCCCCATTTCTCTATCGATTTATCAATTTTTAATTCGTTTTGCATGAATTTCAGTTGATCTCACATTAGAGATCAACGCAGATTCGTGCATAAACACAAGTATATATATAACAAAAGATATCACTATTAAGAACATTGTAACAAATATGCCATATTATCATGCATTTATGCAATGGATGACTAAATGTCATAGTGAACACTCCTCAACAGCCTATGGAAACAATGACTTACCCCACTTTTAAATATTGAGACATGTCAAAAAAAAAGTAAAACAAGTACCCAAGGAAAGAATTTTCCAATCTAATATTTTGATGCCCTTATATTATTGATCCCAATGACAATTCAGTTATCGAACACAAAAAACCTTTCAAGTAAAGAGTGTACTTATGTAATATCTTAGATAAAAAAGGATGAGAAAAAATGAATAGTAGAAAAAGACTACAGAATATTTCATTTGTGTCCTCCAAGTTTGCATCATGAATTTAATTTTTCCTTATACTCTGGGAAGAACATATTACCTGAGAAGCAAGAGCATCGGAGTGGTCGGCATCAGCATTCTTCTCCCCAGATTTCTCTAATCCCTTAACCAATGCCTGCTCCAATAAAACAAAAGCAGGTTCTGAGAGTATATTCAGACTAAATCCAAGTAGACTGACTACAAACCAAAATATAATATCCAAAAGTCACGAAGAATATATGATTAATTTGATGTAAAATAATAATAGACGGGGAAATTTATCAAAATACACCTAATAGATGGGCTATTTGACATTTTAACCAAATAGTCTGATTTAATTTCAAAAAGCCCATCACAATGCACATGATCGTGGGTTGGAATAGTTGAAAATGTGTAAATATTAACAGTAAGGTGTATTTTGATATTTTCCCAAATTAATATTCTATCAGCTTCTTCTATTGTTCACTGTTCATTTTACCAATACTGCATCATTACCAAATGCAACCAATAACACTTCTATCCATTGGAAACAATTAATGAACAAAATACAATGAACATAACCACCAATTTTGCTAGTGATAAACCAGTATAAACTCCGAAATCAAGGGTACTCAGGCCACAGGAGTCCTATATCCATTAGAAAAGAAACCTGTGCACCGAAACACTCTTCATACTGTTGCCTCCAAATGGAGCTACAAACTATTCCTTTCCGATCTTTATATCTCATTTTGAATGACAAGCCAGTTTGACAAAACATATGTTATTTTTGGATATTTGAATATCTGAATAAAGGCACTGTTGGCTTTCTATATTTTTCAAACTACTTATTATCATGATACGTGTTTTTACGTGTGTTCGAACATCAAACCATATTTTAGAGTTTTTATAGAATTTATATTTCTGACTGTTTGGTCATAAAAAATTGCATTCATATGAAACTAACTTTACATCAGGAATTTCATCTATCTGTGATCAATCATCGCAAGTGAAACAATAATATAATTACTGCTAACCTGAAGATCCGCCAATACATCTGATAATTTTCCATTTCTCAACAGTACTGTGCCAGTGAACCCTGTAAATCCATCCCGCCAAAAAATCAGAAACAAAATAGTACCCAGAATAATTCAAATAAATCTGCAACTAGAAGTCCAATTAAATCCTGAAAAATGATGCGTCAAAAAGTTCAGATAAGGAAAGGACTAGAGAGCAAGTCTGAGCAAGAATTTTCAGGAAAACGGTAAAAAAAGAAACACCAACAAAATAGACCACATATTTCTTATATACCAGACAAATACTGGTAACTGGAAAAATATTCTATCAATCCAAGAAAAACAACAAAACACACTAAACTTATTCCACCAGATCAAAATCAAATTTTAGACGTCCTAAAATCCTTCTATAGACCCAAGAATAATAATAACCTTAACTTGGTGCACTCAAATTAAGAAATCCATTCAAAAACCTAAGATACTAAAAAAACCAGTATATCCAGGAAAAAAAAAAGGAACACAAAACTAAAACCACTCCAACAGATCAAGGAACTAAACAAAAAACCTAACGTTATTCTACCAAGCCAGCACACTGATGTCAATATCCTAAAATTCACCTATCCATCATTACTCCAGCAAATTTACTCTCAGAAACCATGGCCAAGAGATGAAAAAATAAAAACTCGAACACAGGCAAAAGTACCTGCTCCAACGAGTATGATGATCCTGGAAAGCCCCATTCCAGCCTGCATCGCCATTACTGGAACTGAATATCAGCTTCCTGATTTCTGAGTAATAAATATTCGAAACCCTAATCTTGTCAGAGCTTAGACCGCAAATCCCCAAGCTTCAGAGAAGAGGGTAGGGCCTGCTAGGTCAAAAGCAGTTGAGCAGGATTAGCGCCATATATAGGTTCCCCTCTTAATTACAGTCTATCGAGCCCTACGGTTAACATTGGGGCTGGATTATAGCGTAAATATCGACGATACGCTCCTGAAAACCTTTGAGAACTATTTCACATCTAAAGGGTGCCGTTTGTATAGAGCCCAGACTTTGAACAATCAAGTTACAACCCACCTTTAAATAGTGTCAAGAAATGTGGTTTTAATGCTGGAATCTTCGTTGATAGCCTTAAAATATATTTTTATATTTATCTATAAAGTTTAAAGCTTAAAAAATAATGTAAATCGACATATCTATGAAAACGTGAAAATTGACGATCCAAAAATGTGTTACAAAATATACTATTTTTAAACTTTAAATCCAAACATTGAGAATATGAATTTGTAAAAATGAATAAAATTTTAAAACTAAAAATATTCTTTTGAAATAAATTTCTAAATCATGGTAGAATTTTTTTTCCTTTTTTTTGTTTTTTAGAGAGGACACATCACCACATCCATTTTTAAGATAATCGTCGGATGCCTTAAGGGATGCAAATATAGTTTTGTATCTCCTGACGTATAAACCACCTTATTTTAACTAGTCGAATTACTTGCGTTGCACGTAAAATTAATTGGTAGAAGAGTGGCCAAATATTCAATGACCAAAGAGATCTATCGAGCAATGGTTTGATATTAGAGATCTATTATGTTAAATATTAAAAAGGACAAAAAATCACTTTTCTTAATTATTATTTGTTACCAACGTTTTAAAACCTTTTATTTTAGTGTTAAAACTGTACTTTAATATGGTACTGTTTTTTGTTTTGGTTATCAAAAAGAAAAAATGTGCTTTATATGGGTTGTATGAAAACATTACAAATTTGGACTTGTATAATAAGAATTCTCCAATAACATATTACTTTATATTGTGAAAATCCTTAAGAAATATGTTAATGTGTTATGAAAAATTGAAATCATTTAAAATTTAGAAGTATAAAATATAAAATATTTGATAACAAACTTTTTATTTTAAACTTATGATTTGACATGAAAGTTTAAAAAATGGGAAAGTAAAAGTAGAATGAAAATAAAAAATATAAAAGGAAAATTGCATAAAACCCTAAAAAATGAACTTTTTACATAATTTACCCCCATCCTAACTTTGTTTAGCGAATTTGTCCCCAAAACTATGATTTCTAGCAAACACCCCCGGCTCAAAAAATAAAAATATAAAATATAAAAAAGACTAAAATACCCCTCCCTTACCTCACACGTAGACCATGGCGGTCCGGCACTTATTTTTGGATTAATGAGCGGTCTGATGGAATAGGCGGCCTGGCAGTATACAATTCCCATCAGGTATAATGGATGGGTCGGGCAATATACAATAACGGTCCAGCATAAATGATAGGATCTAGCAATATACAATCACGATCCGGCATAATGGATGGCTCTGGCAATATACAATCACGGTCCGGCGTTTTCTTTATTGGGATTCGAAAATGATTTGTTTTGTATAGGGAGGGTATTTTCATTAAAAAAGAAATGAACTTTTTGTATTGGAGGGTATTTGTTATAAAACTAGATTTTTGAAAAAAATATGCTAAGAAAAATTAGGGTGGGGTAAAGTGCCTAGAAAGTTTATTTTTGGGGGTTTTATGCAACCCTCCCAAGTATAAATGATAAGAAATTCAGGCATAAACTATTTTTTAAGCCTAAAAGTACGCATGTTAAATTTTAATTTTTCAAAAAATAGAAAGAAAGAATAAAATTAATGTCCAAATTTTGTCCATTTCCTATATTTGTATTTTACATAACATAATTTTTCTAGTGTTTATTTGATTGTAATAAAAATTAAAGAAGTGAAAATTATTTCAAAGATTGAACAATTTAAGTTCACAATTTCAAAATTTAAGTATTAGAAACTGATTTGGTATTTTAAGTATTTGTTGGTTTTTATAAAATAACAAAAAAAAACAAAAACAATGTGAAAAGCACTCATAAAAATTTCATGAAAGAATTGAAATTCATAATTAAATGATAAATACCTAAAAAAACAAAAAACAAAAAACAAACTACACTCGATCTTGATGAAACATTAGCATTTTTACTGATTCTTCAAAATTATGTTAGTTTATAAAAGTTTTACATGCGATAACAACATTAAGCATCAAACTAAAATTACAAAAATTTCATTAAAAAATAAAAAATAAAAGTTTTGGAACATAAAATGTATTAGCAATTGTCATATCATGTACTCTAAAAAAAATATATTTTCACAATAAAATTGTGAAACAAAAAAAAAAGCATAAATTAGGTGACTGTGAAACTGAAATAAACTAACTACATACGTTCATGTGGCAAGCTTTTTCTAATACAATTTCACATTAAATATTTGAATGAAAAATACAACAACTTATCTCTGACGTTGAATATGATTATGCGCTTCATAGACGTGCAAGAGTACATACACATAAATATAATTACAAAAATATAAATATAAAAAATAATAAAAAATTAATACAAAAAATAGAAAGAAAAAATAAAGAATAATACAAAAATTTACAGGAGACTATACAAACCACACTTATTGTGTAACAAACAATTTTTAAAAAGTGGAAGGAAAATGTTTGATAGGTCTGCAACCCTATCAAAATGAGTAAAGCCTCCTCACCTCAAAACTCGCCAAAAAATTGTCACTCTCTGAAAAACTTTTAAATCGATCATCTCGGCTTTAACTATCATGGTTGTAAAATAAATTATGATTTTAAACCCCAAAAATAGTATATATTATAACACACGGCCTTAACTATCATGGTTGTGAAAATAAATTATGATTTTAAACCCCAAAAATAGTATATATTATAACACACGATGAAGATTGTTCATTTCACCCAAAAAATAAGTGTTCAATGATCAATAAGATCTTTATCATTTATTGAGCTATAATAAGCGGTGTAGATTGATTTCAGGTCCATACCCGATGTATTTTCTAGACAAAGGCTTTACTTCTTTCATGAGTCTTAGGCCTTACAGAAACCACGTCAAAAGGGCAAGCATCCTCAAAATGCTGTGAGGGTAAGATAGAAATATCAAATAGCGGTGTGGTTTCTCGCGGGAAGAACAAAATAATTATCCCCTTTTCCCGCGTTAATAAACCAAGTACTGTAAAATTCCATAATTTTGTTGTTTGATTTTTAGCTGTATCAATGGCGACTGTCAACCTTGAAAAAAATCCTAAAAATTCAGAACTGAGAGGAAGCATGGGCGAGGAAAACCCTAAAATTGCAGAATGCGAAGCTCATGTACATGAAGAGAACCCTATAATTCCAGAGACCAAGGTTCACGTAGATGGAGAAAACCTTAGAATTTCAGAAACCAAGAGCGACGCAGATGGAGAAAACCCTAGAAATATGGAGAACCACGGCATCGAGAAAGAGAAGAGCGCTAGTGTTTCGAGTTCATGCCCTGAAAACGACGCAAAAAACCCTAAAACGAAGAAGCAGAAGCTTGAAATACTGGGGTATTCAATAGAAGGCTTATCAATTGGAGGGCAAGAGACCTGTATAATGTTTCCAAACCTAAAGCTGGCATTTGATATTGGAAGGTGCCCTCAGAGAGCAATTAATCAGGATTTCCTCTTCATTTCCCATGGCCATATGGATCACATAGTCAGTATATAAATTCTAGCTTTCTGTAATTCTTTTTACTATTGTTCACCTTCTTTTGAAGTTTAGCGATGAGATTATGATGAATTGTTAGGATTTCAATTATTCACATGATTGTTGTGCCATTGTTTATCAACAGTTAACCATGTATTTAGTTGTGCATTGTTTGCCAATTGAAGGATAATTTAGCAGGGAGAACTTTATTGAATGGTTTTTTCTGTTTACTATCAATGCATTTATTTATGTCAATTGATGTTTCTGATAAGGATTGTTTAGCATGGGCAACTTAGTTTAATGGGTTTATTAATCCATGAATTGTTGTCATTTAACTGAAAATGTCTGGTTAAGCACGTGTTTGAATTTGAATTTTTTGAAAAATCATATATATGATTTGGGGATGTATCTCTCAAGAATACATTTTCTAGAATGCAAATATTCAGGGAGAACTAACATTACGGGTATTGAGTATTATGGGATTGATGGGGACTAAGTGTTGTTGTCATTTCCTTTTGGGAGTTGAAGCGGATTTTTAATTGAGAGAGGGTGGGAGGGAGGGAGGGAGGGAGGGAGAGCCATCATGTAAATAACTTGTCTTCATTAATCTTGCTTCTTATTAAGATAACTTCCTTTTCATGTAAATAACTTGTCTTCACTACTCTTGCTTCTTATGAAGTGCGCTGCTATATGCTTCGACCAGTGCTTGAATTTGACTTGTTTTCTCTCATTTCTCAAATAATTTGGTCTCTCTCTCCCTCGCTCTCTCTCTTCCCTTGTTAATATCAGGGTGGACTTCCCATGTATGTTGCTACTCGAGGCCTGTATCGTATGAAGCCCCCAACCATCTTTGTCCCGGCATCCATAAAACAACATGTTGAGAAGCTGTTTGAGGTTCATAGAGCGATGGATGATTCAGAACTTAAACACAACCTTATAGGCCTGAAAGTGGGTAATGTCTTGCCTTTTTTCATCGAGCTCAACCCTGAAAATCTTCCTTCATTGATATTTCATTTTTTAACAAATTTTATTATATCAAATTGTAGGGGAAGAGTTTCAGTTTAGAAGGGACCTTATAGTTAGAGCTTTCAAGACCTACCATGTCATACCAAGCCAGGTTAGAATTAGAGGACTGATTTCTTCAAGGTTTATTTTCTTGGAAATTATACTGTATATTTGAATACTGTCAACCATTGTTTTAAAACAGCTTCTTCAAGGTTTATTTTCTTGGAAATTATTTTCTGGGAATTGGTTGGGATTGGACCGGTTCTAGGAAGGTATTGGTTTCGGCACAATTCCCCCCAAAACACACCCTTTCATATTTTCTACTCCCCCCCCCCCCTGCCAAAAAAAAAAAAAGAGGAAAAAATTGCTCCCCATATAAACCCTATTTTGAATTCTTATTATTATTGTTCTGGATTGCTGATTCTGACTCATACAGACCGATGCGGATAGGCGATTTGCCTGTCCGATATGGATATATGAGGTGGACGATCAACCCCACTGAACAGGGTTTCAAAACCCTGATATGAACTTTTGAATAACCATAATCAATTGGCTCATCATTGTCAATTACTGTGATGGACAACAAGGGAGAGAGTTTGGAACCCAGCATAACAAGACAAGACTCCATTTGTGGGTCCCACTCTCTCTCAGTCATCCATTGTTTCCATGGATGATGATGGCCTATTGGACCATGGTGTTTTCATAGTCTGGATTATATTATGCTCTTCCTTTATTAAAATCCCGAGATACTTTTACATGTCCTTCTCATGCTTAAGTTTTGTGTTATTTGAACAAAATGCAGGGTTACATTATTTACTCTGTGAAACAAAAACTGAAGAAGGAGTATGTTGGTCTTTCTGGAAATGACATTAAGAGGTTGAAGTTCTCAGGTGTGGAGGTCTGTCTTGGCTGGCATTTGAGAAATAAACTTGCTAAAAGTAATAGCTGGTGTGATTTTCTATATTAATATGTTTGAAAATAGTAAAGAAAAGAAACGGGAGTTTGTTTCATTTTGTTTCCCCAGGTGGTGGTATTTATGAATTGGGTTTCTGGGTTTCAGATCACAGATACTGTGTTGGCCCCTGAGGTTGCTTTTACAGGAGATACTATGGCTGATTTCATTGTTGATCCAGACAATGTTGACGCGTTAAAAGCAAAGATTCTTGTCATGGAGGTCTTGTTCTCCCTCTGTCATCTTTTTCTTTTGAATGAGTGGAAGTTGCACTAGCAGTGCAACTCAAGGGACCAAACCCTAAGAAACTATTTAAAAGCGAATGATAAGTACTCATTTGGGGAGGGCATTTATTATCACTGTTGTTGTTATTGTTGCTTGATATCCTATTAGTTAATTTATTAATCTCCGTTTCTTGTTATACTGTTTTGTCAGTTTCATTTAGGCTCTGCTATAAGCATGTCTCAATTTCTCAAGACTAGAATTGGTCATGGTGCATATGATTTGAGGGTGTATTGCATGCATAATGTATATTTTCTACAACTAGTTATAGATATGTTGGATGTATTGAACCATAACTATTTTCACCGTAGATACTCATTTCTCTTTCTTAGGATGGTGTATTATTTGAAAACGAAAGGAAAACATGTGTTATGTTTCTTTTTATGGATCAAAAGTGTGAAGGCCTTTCCCTGCGGTGTAAATAGCAGTGAATCAATATTAGTCAAAAAGGGATTGCCGATGCAAATAATACATTTTAGGATGACATAGAGGTATTGTATATTCTCTAAAATAGTTTCACATTTGCCCTCAAGGAAAAATGTTTAGCGGCCCAGGACCGCTTGGAGTTTATGTACATAGCTCTCGATCTTGATAATGCCATGCTCTTTATCTGCATGCATATTTTAATAGGCAAGTGGTTTCAAAGTGGATTCTTTGCCCTCGAGGAGAGAGATTGAGGCTGAGTGGCTTTTCGCCCAATATTTAAGGAGTTTGAGAGATTATCTTCTATCATTTTCAGTGTGTGACTCATATAGGATCCTTGATAAGGGGCATATCATATTGTGAGATAATGGTAGTTCTCCAAATATTGGTTTTGAGCTGTTTCTCTAGTAGGTTTACTGATTCTGTTTTGAATGGGTTTAAACTTATAAAACTTCTCCAATAAATAATTAATGTATCTAACATCTTTCAGAGAACATACTCTGGTTCTTTTTTGATATTGTGTCCTCTATATTTTGGGCCATTATTCTACTTTGCTTTACCCTGATCATTGTTTTTCCAGAGTACCTTTGTTGACAGCATGATGACCGTAGAGCATGCAAGAGAGTATGGTCACACCCATCTCTTTGAGGTGATGAAAATTTATTTTGATGAATACTTTGTTGTTTTTTATTTTTTTTAAGTTGCGGATTTCTATATTGAAATTCTATACTCTTTCTTCACTCTTTTGATGTCGCATTTGAATTCGGGCACTTTTCTCAGTTTCATTTCTTTATGCTTGCAATGAACTATTATTGCAGATAGCAAAACATGCAGATAAGTTTGAGAACCGAGCAATACTGTTGATCCATTTTTCGGCTCGTTACAGACCAGAGGTATGTTTTTTTGCTGCTTAGCAGAAATTATGGAAATGGTAGTGGTTTAAAAATTGGCTTAGAATGTCACCAGTTAAAAAATTTGTAACTCGAGTCATACAATGAGTTTAATGTTCAAAGCAGTCTTTACCATGAGGGAAATTGCCCTCGCACATATGACCATTTCAATGACGTTGTTTCCCTGTTCTTCTTGTCACGGTGGTGTTTGTAGCATGGAACAGCAAAAATCTTCAGTCTGTGTGGGTGTGTGTGTTAGTTTTTGGGTCAATACCTGCCCCTTCTGTGCACCAACACGTACACTTGCATGCAATCACACACCACACACATGAGAGAGAGAGAGGCACAATAAGACGTTAGGTCTACATGTTTGGTTTTTCATGACAAACTTCCAAAGAGTTAGAACCCTTGACTTCCCTCATCCAAACTGGGATGTAGCCTTGGTACTAATAACTGATTGGATGGTTTATTGACTTGGGCCCTAATTTTTCTCTATTTTTCTTCAGGAAATAGAGGCAGCAGTGGCTATGTTGCCTCGAAACTTAGATGGCCGAGTTTTCGCTCTTACAGATGGTTTTTGAATCGAGCTCTCCTAGAACCGTTAATTATTTGTTTTGTTACTTATAGGTTAATTCTCCACTGATGCCAATATTATGTTTTCTTTACGTTATCTCCTTTGTTTTGTTTCTCAATTCTACCATGATTTATACTGGACTACTAACAATCATCTATATGGTTGACTGAGAAATTCCATTTTAAGGGACAATGTTATCGACATTGGATCAGAGCGACAGGTCGAACTGCCTGTCAGGCCTTTGGGTGTTCCAGTCAGATCATCAAACTAAAAATATCATAGAACTAGTCGAAATCAACTATTGACCCATTGGCCATTTGGACTATCCGGGTTTGCCAGATTTGCAAGCCCTTTTCTGTCCCATAATTTGGAATATTCGCCTTAGTTTCAGTTGGATTTTTCAAGTGTTTTTTTTTTTGGGTGCTTCATCTATAATTTCACTTTTCACTCCATTCTCCTACTAAAATGTGATCCCAAGAAACGCGGCTTAGTTTCTCTCTCTACCCTGATTTTTGCCTCTGACTTTTTTAAACAAATTGATTCATTATCGATGGTTTGGTTTGCAGATATATTATCATTCCCTGGCTTGCTAATTATGGTGGTTCAATATTTTTTGACATTTACCTGAGTTTTGGCTAAATTTCCCATGGGAAAACCTTACCTTTTTTTCTTTCTATTCTATTTCATTTAGCAACATTTTTTTTTCAATTTTCTAGCAATTGACTTTTTTCTTTTCGTTTTTTTTTCCTTTCTAATCTTTAACTCAGGCACATGTTCTGTCAAATGAGAGGTTCTATTCCCCTAATTTCGAGCTCAAAAACCATGATACTTGTTAGATAGGTAGTCGTATCCACTGCCTTCGAGCTAAAAAATCTGGTAACAAAATTCAAACCCTTTTGTTCTAAAAAAAGACTTGCAACCTAATATTATTTCGTACTTTCTTTATGATTCTAGTTAGTTCAATAAATTTTATGTATGTATTTTGAGAAAAATAGTATGACCAGTCCAACTTCCAGTTGGATAAGTTTCAACCGGCCTTCCTTATGGTTCATTGGCTGTTCTGATCCTCATAATACTAGTAAATTAGTTATTTATAAATGAATGAGAAATAAGTTATTCCGATCGTGATAATATGAGTAATTCAAAATGGACTCTAGGTGGTTAAGGTGATGAGGTGTTACAACATGATGCCTTGAGTTCCATTTTGTATTTTAGGTCAACTATAAAAAACAAAGGTGGGTAGTTTTTTTGTTGCTTAGATGTCATGAGTTTCATTTAAACCATTCTGTATTTTAGGTTAACTATAAAAAACAAAGGTGGGTAGGTTTTTTGTTGCTTAGATGTCTTGAGTTTCATTTAAACCAATGAGAGAGAATTAAGAAGGAAAGAGAATACTTATTGTAAGTAATGTTTTAAGAGATTTAAGGCCGATTTTGGATGCGTCCTACTATGATTTCTTTCAAAGGGGTCTATGCATGATTGCGGCTTTTTCTTGTTTGTTTTATGGGAAAGCAGGAAACACTATAGCGGCTGGGAAAGCTCGTTCCCAACCTTTCCATGTCTCGGGTAGTTTTTCGTGAACGCACTCACTTATGAAAGTAATTTCTTAAATGACTGAAAGCTCTCTCATGGAGTGAACTCCTTTAAGGTCTTCACAATGACATGCACTTTTGATTGTCTTAAAAAAAAGATATTTTAATGAAAAAGTAACAGAGAGATAATATGAGAAATACTTCAATGGATGAAATTTAGTCTTATCAGGAGTAATACTGTCTTACTTCAATGGATGAAATTTAGTCTTATCAGGAGTAATACTGTCTTATCTGAATTCAATATATTGTGAATAATATTATCTTATTTGGTGTAGAGTATATATTTTGTATTATATATAATATTTTTTAATTATTCAACTTTTTTTTACCATTTTTAGCTTTTTTTAGCTAAGAATATGTAAGTTTCAACAAATTATTGTGAATAAAGAAAAATAAAAGAGCTTTTCAAAAAGAAAAAAGTATTTTTAAAATGACTTATAAGTTTATCTCGGATAATTTAATCAGGAATACTTTCAAATAACAAATAATTCTTTGTTAGGATTGATTTTTAATTGAAATGGTGAATTATCAGTGACAAAGTGTACATCCAACAAGTCATTGCGAGGGATTCTAAAGTATGTCACCTACCCACCCAGCCAAAAAAATAAACGTGAATTAAACTAAATAAATCAAACTATAGAGATTAGCTAATTAAGATTTTAGCCATTTTCTCTAGCCTTCTACAGGTACCAACTAAACATCACAAGTATGGGGCAATTTTTAATTTTTATCCCTCCGTCCAACTTTTTTTTTGGAATAGTCTAATATTTTTGAATATTTATATCTCAGTCTAAATACCAATTGTGGGGCAATTTTTAATTTTTATCCCTATGTCCAATTCTGTTTTGGAATAGTTTAATATTTTTTTAATATTTATATCTCAGACTAAACACTTTAAATTGGTATTCTTAAATATCATTTGAAGGGATAGGCACCTCGTGTGTGACTTTTGTGGTTGACATTTTTTTTTACTTTATAGTTATTTGAAGAAATATTAGTATTGAAAAAATATCAATGTCCCGTAATGTCCGTGGAGTGAAATATTGGTCATTAACGCCTTTTACATTTAAATATTAATGTTATCCGGACTGGCCGGTGAAGTGAAAAGTAGATTCGATTGTTGTCGATTAATTTGGATTCGATTTTCAATAAATAACTAAAAATAAAAGATGCACAAAATTGTTTAATTGATCTGATCTATCAAAACTGATCAACCGTTGATTTTGATTAGTTTTTGACTAATCTGTTGGATTGGACTAAGACACTAATTAGTGGTATGACTAATTAGGCTAGAGGTCCGATATAACTATGCATCATATTCATAGGGCGTTCTAGCAATTTAAGAATTGCTACAAGGGTATTCTAGTCTGACCGTATATAAAAAAGGGAAAAGATAATTCTACACCCTCGAGAGTATACTATTAATTTACTCCCTTAGGTAAAACCTACTTATAATTAGTTTTAGGATTAGAACCAAAGTTTGGGGAAATAACATCTTTAACGCATAGATTTGATCTCAATAAAGAAAATAAAAAATCCTAATAGCAACTGCTAAGCGCTTGAAAAAAATAATGTTTCAAGATTGAATAGAAACTGTCCAATTTATAGAAGGTGATTAAAAAACTTAAAATTTCAAATTTTTTTGGAGAATAATCATCCATGAATTCTAAGGTTGTTACCAAAATTTAAGATTGAAAAAATCCCCTCACCTCAATAAAAAATAAAAAAATCCTAATTGTACCCTCTAAACACTTTTTTTTAGAAAAAGTATCAAGATTGAATAGAAACTATCCAATTTATGAAAAGTGAGATCTAAGTGCTAAAAAACTTATTATTTTTTTTTTTTTAAGAATAATAATCTAATAACTCTAAAGTTACCAAAATTTAATATTGAAAAAATCCTCTCAAGAGTCAAGATGGTCACCTAACCGAGGGAGTAGAAAGTAAACCATGCTACCGAGAGAGCATACATACGCCCTCATACTAAAAATATAGACACTAGGGGGAGTAATTTTCAAAAAATATGTACTCAAGGGAGTAATGGATGGTTTGCTCCCGCGGGAGCATGAAGTCTTTTTTCATGGCAATTGCGAAATAAAGAGACGGGGTATACGTAGATGCGAAATAAGGAAGCGACGTTTGTATGTTCCCGCCCATGATGTCATGCTTAAAGCCCTCGTTTCTCTCTCTAAAACTCCGTTCTTCTTCTCTCTTCTCCGTTCATGGCTACCTACGTCATCGCCCTGTAAAAATCCACAGGTATTTAAATACATTTATGGCTTCTTATTTGCATATCTCCATGGTTATCGTGCAAATGGTTTGGAATCCATTTGTTCAGTGGTGTTCTAGTGGATTAAGCTTTGCTTATTTGTTGTCTGAAACCTAATTGCTTGTTCTTTAGGGTTTAGGTCCTTTAGGATTTGAGTCCTAGAAATGTAATATTAGGAACTGAATTGGTGAATTTTTTTTGTGAGAAATACTGAATTGGTGAGTTTTAGGGGTAAGGAATTTAAAGTATTGAATCCATGTCATTATCATGGTCTTTCCTGCTCAAGTTTCAAAGCATTTGGCGTTTGCACCCCCATATTCAGTCTGTAAAATAGTCCACTGGTAGTTTAGGTTTTCATGAATTATCATTTATGTTTTCTCCAATATTTATTTTATGAATGGTATGAAATCCCTTCATTTTCTAGTGTTGCTGTTGCTTGATATTTGAAACTCGATTGCTTGTGTTTTAGGTTTAGGCTTATGAATTCTGAGATTCTTGTGATTGAAGAATTGAACTGAATTTGTGAGGTCCAGGGAACTGGTATTTGAAATCTCGAATCCGTGGTGTTTTTACAGTCTTCACTTAGGGGTGGCAATGGACCCGGATCTGACCTGGGACCCGATGACTGAACCTGTCCCGGGTCTGGGTATGGGCCAAAAAATTGGACCTAGCGGGTTGGGTCTAGGTCTAGGTCTGGGTCCGGGTCCGGGTCCAAATATCGGACCGAAACGCTATTCCTGTCCAATCCAGGTCCATGTGGACCCGACCCGGACCCGATATTATTTAAATAATATTTAATATATAATATTTTTAATAATGTTTCATTAATATTTAAAATAAATATAACTATATTTTTTTTAGAATATAATATCTAAGTAATACATGTATATATTTAATGTAATATTTAAATATATATTTTTTTATATTTGGGTCAGGTCCAATCGGTTTCAAGCCCAATCGAGTTTGGTCTGGTCTAGGTTCGATAACTTTTGGTCTTGTTGGGTCTGGGTTCGACCAGACCCAGACCCGACCTAACCCGTTGCCACCCTCATTTTCTTGCATATCAGCTTATTGGGTCACTGTTTTAGTATAGATTGTTTCCATCATGCTTGGCAAATAACAAAAAATTTAAGCTGGTCTACAGGACAGCTGTGAGACCAGCTTTGCGTTTTCGGTTGGAGACATAGAGTTTTGGCCGGTCAAGAAACAATATTATCCTTATGATGTGTGTAGCTGAGATGAGGATGTTGAGATGGATGAGTGGCAAGACAAGGGATATAATTCAAAATAAATAATTAGATAGAACTTAAGTGTGGCTCCAGTGGCAGATAAGATGAGATAAACTAGATTTAGGTGGCTGGCTATGTGCAGCACAAATCCAGTACAACACTTGTTAGGAGGTGCGAGTTAGTTCAAGCTAAAAAAAGGCAAGGGGTTGGCCCAAAAGGACATGCTTGGAAGTAGTGAAAAAAGATATAGGGACTTCTGGCCTCACTGAGGGTATGGTCCTTGATAGAGCAGAATAGCAGACCAGAATTCGTATAGCTGACCCCAAATAGTTGGGAAAGGCTCTGATGATGATACTTTATGTTTTGTAAGTGTAGAAGATTATGCCCTTATTTTTCTATCTTCCACCCAAATTGTTGTGTTTTTTCTAAGAAAGGTGATCCGACGTCTGTTCACTCTATTTTTTAAAAATCGCTTTTAAGGCGTTTATTTTCTGGAGTTTTCACAGCTGAATTCTCATTTTTATGGATTAAACATCTAATGGTCTTAGAAGAGTGAGGACCTTAAACTTTCCTTTAACCCGTACCAAACCTGGGTAAAGGAGGTGGTTGTGTTAAGTAGGTAGCCAATGTAAAACTTTGCCAAAACTTTCAATGAATCCGGAATCTATGAGTGATTAAACATCTAAACTTTCATATTGATTGTATTTGTTGAGTACTTCCTAATACATTAACTGGCAAACAGAGCCTTTGATCCCTTCACTTTTTGTGACCTAAATAGATAGAATCATTAAACAACAACAGAATTAGATTATGTTATTTTCATTGTGTATAATTGTATTTCGTGGATTAGACAGAAGATATGGATTAGACAGACTATCTTTAGATTCCTAGTGTTTCTTTCGTATTTGTGCCAACCGACTGATATATAGGTCTTTAGCACCTTTCTTTGGCATTCCATGTTATTCTGTTATCATCTTAGTGTTTGGAAGAAAACAAGTTGTAATTACAATGCTCCTCTTTTCTTTCGTCTATGTATATATCTTACTTGGGTGGGTCCTTGGATTTCTTTTTCTTTATTGTTAGTCATAATGTTAATATATCGGAAGTTCCTCAAAAAACTATACATACTCCTCTGAATGATGCATGCCTTTAGTATTGTAGCCAGCTTTTTAACCTTAAAGAAACTCTAAAAGTTTCCTTCTGGGTTTTGACCTAACCATGTCTTATTTCAATTAGTTTCATAAGGTCCATGGCTTCTCATGTTGTTGGGTATCCGCGAATTGGACCAAAGAGGGAGCTCAAGTTTGCTCTCGAGTCCTTTTGGGATGGCAGAAGTAGTGCTGAGGATTTGCAGAAGGTTGCAAAAGAGCTGAGGCATTCTATGTGGAAACAAATGTCAGATGTGGGTATAAAATATATACCCTGCAATACATTTTCATACTATGATCATGTCCTAGATACAACTGCAATGCTTGGTGCAGTTCCTCCAAGATATGGATGGATGGGAGGTGAGATTGGTTTTGATGTTTATTTCTCCATGGCCAGAGGGAATGCTACTCTCCCTGCCATGGAAATGACAAAATGGTTTGATACCAACTAGTAAGTGCTCTCTCCATCTCTCTCCACCCCTTCCATGTTTTAAACACAGGAGTATGTTAATGTGCATATTGATGTAACTTTTATACTGATCACTGAACAGAAACTTTGTAATTTGACGCAGTCACTATCTTGTACCGGAATTGGGACCTGACATTAAATTCTCATATTCTTCTCACAAAGCTGTGTCTGAATACAAGGAGGCAAAGGAGGTATTCTATCAGTAATGCCATGGTTTTTTTTTACCAAGGGAAAGTATAACATAATCCCGTGGCTATGAGAAACCTTGGATCATTTTTACCAAGGGAAAGTATAACATAATCCCATGGCTATGAGAAACCTTGGATAATTTTTACCAAGGGAAAGTATAACATAATCCCGTGGCTATGAGAAACCTTGGATCATTTTTACCAAGGGAAAGTATAACATAATCCCGTGGCCATGAGAAACCTTGGATCATTGGGGTCATTTACATCCAATGAACTCATGGATGGTGAAAGGAAGAGAGGGAGTTGGGCCTATCGATGGGATCATGTCTTGTTCTCTCTCTCTCTATCACCATCTGTCATTTCATTGGGTGCTGATGACCCTTGCATGGACTATGATTTTTCAATTAATATATGTTCCCTTTAATTAGGATTTAGGAATTATCTATTGTGTATAGAGCAGTCCTCAGGAAACACTCTGAACAACTTCTTGTTGAATGGTGGTATCTAGCTTGGATTTGAGACTGTTCCAGTACTTGTGGGCCCCGTGTCTTACTTGTTGCTATCAAAACCCACAAAGAGTGTAGACAGACCATTTTCTCTTCTTTCATTGTTGGGGAAGATCATCCCTATTTACAAGTAAGCAATGATTTCAATGATTTTTTTTTCTTCTAGCATTTATCTAGGGGATGTTTGAAATCCTTTATCTGTTTTCTGTTGATATAGGGAGGTTTTGGCTGAACTAAAGGCAGCTGGTGCGAAGTGGGTGCAGTTTGATGAGCCGACGCTCGTGTTAGATCTGGACTCTCACCAACGAAAAGCATTTACTGAGGCCTATACAGAGTTGGAAGAATCATTTTCTGGTTTGAGAGTGGTTGTCGAGACCTACTTTGCTGATGTGCCTGCTGAGGCATACAAGTTAGTTCTCGATCTTGGAACTGCACCACTAAACCTTCTTGTTCACTAATCGATGCCATTTAATGCTATTATTGTTACCTATTTCTTTTGGTCATAGGACTATCATAGCATTGAAGGGTATCTCAGGTATTGGTTTTGATCTGGTGCGTGGAGAAAAGACCCTTGATTTGATCCAAAATGTAGGCTTTCCTTCTGGGAAGTTCCTCATTGCTGGAGTCGTAGATGGTCGGAATATCTGGGCCAGTGATCTCGGAGCATCAATGTCCATTTTAAAAGCTCTAGAAGGAATTGTTGGCAAAGGTATCCAATTTTTTTTTATAGTATTTGTTAGTCAAGTATGCTGTAGAGTTCTCTAATTTCTAAAATATGTGCTTGGTTTAATTTTGGCAATGCTTGGACCAAATAGGAAAGAAAGATGTAACATGGGTGGTAGTCGGATTGGGCTTGAGTGGATGAGATTTGTTTGTTGGGCAAAGAGTTGTTGAATTTGGTAAAGGTGGGTAACAAGATGTTGCCAACTGGAAGTTTGGTGCCATCGTAGAGGATAAATTGGGTTTTCCAAGGGTTGTGTATGGGGAGATTAACAGAACCAACTTCTTAACCACATGTGCTGACTTAGTTCTGCAAGAAACAGTTGGGGCTCATTTCTACCTTTGTCATATAGAATAGAACTTTTCTATGACTACATCCTTACTGACATATGATTATTTTTCAATGGAAGCCATGTGAAGCAATCAGTTCTCTATGCCAATTCGTAAAATTTGCATCGTAAAATTTGTTCATGTTGACCAATCAGCTGATCGGTTAATGTGTCATGAGTTCTTAGACACTCATACTAATGCCGCTGGCCAATATCGTTGATGTTATCGTTCAGAGAAGCTTGTCGTTTCCACTTCCTGCTCTCTTTTGCACACTGCTGTGGACTTGGTAAACGAAACAAAGCTCGATAGTGAGATAAAATCATGGTTAGCATTCGCAGCTCAAAAGATCCTTGAGGTGAGCACTTTAGCGAAGGCTTTGGCTGGCAAAAAAGATGAGGTATGACCACTACCTTACCTTTTGTTCAGAGCTGCTATCTTGCATTGGCTTTTAATGTATGTATGACATTTCCAGGCATTCTTCATGGCAAATGCTGCTGCTATATCATCTAGAAAATCGTCTTCTAGGGTGAACAATGAAGCAGTTAAAATATCGGTAAGTGAGAGAAAGTTCTATGTAGTTTGTTTAATCCTTTATTCTTCTTTCATTGCATAGAAGTCTTAGTAGAAACTCTCTATTAGAATCGTTGGTTTGACCGACGAACTACGTGGGAAAATAGATCTTCTTTCTTTGATTTTCAGCAAGCATCTTTGGAAAGTAACAATTCAGTCCCTTCGGAAAACTTGCCGGTCGCGGATTAGTTCGTTCCGCGCTGCCGGCGGCCTAAACGCAGGTTGATCTCTTTGGTTCCCCTCCCCCTTTCTCATTCCTCCAGAAAGTGATCGTAGTTCTCCTCCATCTCTCTGAACAAACTCTATTTTTGCTATTTGTTACTTTAGTTTTGCAGTCTTCTATGTGCAACAGGCTTTGGCATTAAAGGGCTCTGATCATCACCGAGCCACACCGGTGAGCACCCGACTTGATGTACAGCAAAAAGAGCTTAACCTGCCCATTCTACCAACTACGACAATTGGGTCTTTTCCACAAACCATGGATCTCAGAAGGGTTCGCCGAGAATACAAGGCAAACAAGTGAGTTACTTTAGGACCAGTGGGATCAATCTCGAGTAATTTCAATCCGAGGCATAATCTAGAGAGCTTGGCAAAAAATCCTGTTTTGGTATGTAATCTTTGAGTGGTGGTTGCAGCAAAGTGATTTGAAAGTCCTAACTTCTAAATCTCACTCTCATCTTTAGGAGTCATATGCAATAGACTCTGTAGTTTATTCCCTTCTCAGTTTCCTCTCAAAATTAGTAAGTCATCATTATCAGTGATTTATTCAACCTTAAATATAACCATTACCTTTTATGAGTCTCTTTTCAATATTAAGTACTCGATTTTGCAGCATTAGGTATTTATAACATTTATAGAGTTTTAAATACAGTTCATCTGAGCCTTACCCCAGCTATATGGGGTTGGCTACATGAATCTTGCTCTGCCATTCTGCTGTATCAAGGGCCATACCCTCAATAAGGCCATATATCACCATATATTTTCTCACTACTTCCATCAATGTCCATTTGGGCCTTCCTTTTTCCCTTTTAGAGTCTTCTACTTGAACCAAATTGCACCTCCTAACCGGTGTTATGTTAGGCCTACGCTGCACATCGCTAGCCCTAAGTCTACTTTCTCTTATCTTATCGTCTATTGAAGCCACACCTAAATTTCTCAAATGCATTGATTCTAGATAGAAATATTACCTAAAAATAAAGAACCCAAAGTCCAAAGCCACCACGGCTTTTAGAGACAATTGGGCAAATGATGGTTGTAGTTGGAGAAAGGCCGGCTACTTTTCATGCGGTTTTACTCTCATTCTTCTTTTTTCTTGATATATAATTACAATTGTACCCAGCCTTGCAATGCTTCTATTGCATCATACAGTCAGTGGAACATGGTATTGTTTGGAGAATCTGTTTATCTATATTTAACTGTTGATTGGTTTAGTAGTTCATAGGTGACTGAAAAGCTGGTACCTGGTTCTTCTTCAATTTTATTCTGGCACATCTTGTGAGGTTACTAAATTGTTTGCTATTTGTTGGCTGCTTTCCTTTCTTTTTACCAAATTCTTGGCTGCTATATGCATACCAAATGATGCTTGCATCTTATGAGGTGGTCGAGTAGAATTTATTGGACTATCTTTGTTTAACTGCCTACTTTTTATCATCAGTATCACTGAGGAAGAGTACATGAGGGCCATTAAAGAGGAAATCTGTAAAGTTGTCAAGTTGCAAGAAGACCTTGGTATTGACGTTCTTGTGCATGGAGAGCCAGAGGTACAAGTGCCTGGCCTTCACTCGTTCTCTTTCGAATTTTTTATGAAGTCTCCAATTTCATTTAAGTCAATTATTCTTTCCTGAATAACATTATGTGATAGTTATTGTCCTTATGTCTTCATCAAAAGAGAATATTTACTATCACTATATTGATCAAATGCATGCAGAGGAACGATATGGTGGAGTATTTTGGTGAGCAATTGCATGGCTTTGCATTCACTGTTAATGGCTGGGTTCAGTCCTATGGTTCCCGCTGCGTAAAACCCCCAATCATCTATGGTGATGTAAGTCGCCCAAGGCCAATGACGATTTTCTGGTCCAAAGCTGCACAAAGCATGACTTCTCGTCCTATGAAAGGAATGCTCACTGGACCAGTTACTATTTTAAACTGGTCATTTGTAAGAAATGACCAACCTAGGTTAGTGGTTATCATCTCTCTCTCTCTCTCTCTTCCCCCCTATATGTGTATGAGCTCATGCTTTCTTAGAATTCTTTTTTTCTACTTGTTTCGAATGTTTTCAGGTCAGAAACCTGTTACCAAATTGCCTTGGCCATAAAAAATGAGGTTGAAGATTTAGAGGACGCTGGCATTCAGGTTAAGATCTCTTCATGTGGAATAGACCTAATTTTTCTAGTCTTGTGAAACTTTCAATTCCTTTGCTTCTAAATTCTTTCAGAACCATAATTTAGTTTTGGAATTTGATCCATGAAAAAGAAGGCATAACCTTTGCAACATTTTCATGAATATATACATGCAGAGGAAAGTATGAATTTGTCATAGGAATTACAAATGAATATTCTATTTGCAATCTCTCTCTCTCTCTCTCTCTCTCTTTCTCTCTCTCTCTCTCTGTATGTGTGTGTATATGGTGGATGAGTATAATCATTTAATATAAATAATTTTTGTTATAAATTATATCGTTTAGTAAGTATAATTGTTTTATGTATCATTTAATAGTAGTAGTTGTTGTATGTGCGAATCATCCAGGTGATCCAAATTGATGAAGCTGCCCTACGAGAAGGTTTGCCTCTACGTAAGTCGGAGCAACCCTTTTACCTGGACTGGGCTGTACATGCTTTTAGAATCACCAACTATGGTGTGAAAGACACTACCCAGGTTTTTTTATCCCAATTACTTTTTTTTTTGGTCGATTATATAAAGTCTAAACTGTTTAATCTAGCTTCACACATCCATCACAAATGACAATGCATATTCATGATCACAAATTTTTCTTACAATAAAAAGCAAACAATTAGAAAACTTTTCTCATCGCTGAGAATCCTACTATTTAGAAATGTCTTTTTACTGTATAAATTTGCTTTTATGATGTAATTTTACTTTTTATTGTTACTGCTATTGCTTGGAAATTTAGTGGAGTTATACCATACATGAAAGCTCGTGGGTTTTCTAGGATGATTTTCTTGAAGTCCTGAATTTCGAAAATGACGAGTATTGCAGAAACTACATGCAATGGCATTGGTTTCAATAAATATTATCTAGAAAATGTTCCAAAATCTTAAAACTGCAATTGGTTTTCCTAAATTTGTGAAAGCTAACCTTATTTGCAAAACCGTTTCCTCTTATAATTAGCAACAAAAGCACTTCACCCTTGTCACTAATCGACCATTTTTCAACTGCCTTGCCTGTTCCAATCTGGCTTTGCTAAGCAAACTGATTTGCGAGTTGATCAATGTGAAAATTTCCACAACTCTCTCTCTCAGTTTCGAGAGACATTGCATGAAAAATTATCTATTTGTTTTTCTCTCCGAGCAATTTATCATTTTTATGCACTCCTGCCTTAGATTCACACACACATGTGCTACTCCAACTTCAACGACATAATTCTCTCTATCATGGACATGGATGCTGATGTGATTACAATCGAGAATTCAAGATCCAACGAGAAGCTCTTATCAGTGTTTAGAGAGGGCATCAAGTATGGAGCAGGGATTGGGCCTGGAGTGTATGATATACATTCACCAAGAATCCCAACCACCGAGGAGATAGAGGAGAGGGTTAGAAAGATGTTGGGTGTGCTTGAGCCGAGTATGGTATGGGTGAACCCAGACTGTGGTCTCAAGACCAGGAAGTACTCTGAGGTGATTCCTTCTCTAAGCAACATGGTTGCTGCTACAAAGCTTCTCCGAATTGAACTGGCCGATACCAAGTGATCTCTCTCTCTCTCTCTCTCTCTCTCTCTTCTCTCTCTCTATCTGATGCACCCACCACCAAACTAGTATACTCTCTCTCTCTCTCTCTCTCAACCAACTAGCCATATCCAAGCTCTCTCTATTTCTCTGTCTCATTTCTCGGATCAATTACGGTGTGGACCCTGATCAGACCCGTGATTGATCCGAGTAGATCCAACCCGGGTCTGGGTATAGATCCAAAAAATTGGACCCGAACTGGGACCCGACTTGACCTGTTGCCACTCCTAGAATAATCTCGATAGAGAAACTTTCCCAAGTAAACTCTCTAGAAACTAAAAACAGCTTATGCCTCAAGATTGAATAGAGAGATTTAAGTGTCAAAAAACCTTAAAATTCAACTTTTTTTCTTTTAAAAATACTTATCTAGTAATTATTATGTGTTTTTCAAAATTTTAGACTAATTTTTTTTTCTACAGCAGGTGTTTTGAGTTGGGGGCATAGTATATGCGCTCAGCATTTAATGGGAATACTCTTGGACAGAATAATTTGTCTGTGCTCTTTTCACGACTTTATCTCCGCACTTTTGACATGATCTTGATTAAATGCTTGTCCTTGTGATAATATTCGTACTGTACACTCATTTACGCACCGTAAGTGCATCTCATATAAATACATGGGAAAGGTTTCTATGCTTTTTCTACAGCACAAAAGTCCTATTATTTTTCTACCATCTAGCTGTCCAATTTTGATCAAGAAAGCTACTCACAGTTTGATTTTAGATCCGACGGCTCAAAGTATTTTATTTTTAGTTTTTTTAATACAAATTGTATGAATATGAAATTTGGTACTTGCCATTTTCTCATTGGGGCACCCCTAAAAAACATTAAAAATAATATTTTGATAAAATATAATGATCAAAATACCCTTTCAAACTTTCAGGGGTATTTTGGTTATTTTATTCTATTGAAAGTTTTTTTTTTTTTTTTTTCGTTAGTGGGAGTTTAATAGAGGGATGAGCGTCCAAAATTTAGTGTCAAAATAGTTTATAGAAAAAAAAGTTAAAATTAAAATAGTATAAAGATGTGACATTGTGATTGGAGCAATTTTAACCCTCCATTTAGAATGGACCGGTGAGGATTGAACTTCTATTCTATAGGGGAAAATTGCCCTAAATGCGTTGTGGACAAATGAATGATATAATCCTATAACTGCATCTAACAACAATGTATTGAAGATAAAATCGATACACAAATGGTCAAGGCAAATCGATGGAAAAGTAAGGAAGTTGAGATATTGGAGGAGATTGGAAAGAAAAGGTAATTGTTTTTCTAAAATTGTGGTTTGAATATGAATTATTGCATATATTTTGAAATTATCTCCATGCAAACAAAAACTAAAACTAAAAGAATCTAAATAAACAATATTGGATTTTTTTCCCCTAAATTATGTACAATTGCATGAGAGATATTATGGATTCTTTGTCCTCTATTTTTTTTAAGGTGAGAATGAGTTTGATTTTTTTTGTATTTTTCCCCAATTACTATACACATTTTTACCACCCTATCACAATTGTGCGAAATCAGAATACAAAGAGAAATAAAATCCTGCTGTCTAGAATGCCATTCGAAGAAGGCTGAACCTTTTTTTAGCATGCGGATCTCCCACCATGATCGGCAACGGGTCTTAAAAAAATATCTAAGGAGATGAAATTTATATATTTGCACCACGTCAAAGTAACGAACATGGTATATAGGTTTTTGAAATAGACTCCATTTTGAGAAATTTGGAAAATTAGATAAATATTTTATTTTTTCCTTTTTTCAAATGGTAAATATTTCTTAGAATATGTGAATCAAACCTATATTTGATAAATATTTGTATGTATCAAACCTATATTTGAATTGAGAAAATGAGATAGGTTTTGAATAAGATAGATTTAGATCCGAAAAAGGTTGGGAATAAATTCTTTCAAAATTTATTCTTTATTTGAAATCAGATAGATTCAGATATAAAAAGGGTTAATAATAAATTCTTTCAAAATTTACTCTTTATTCCTTTGTCGGAGGATCTGCGATTGAGAAAATAACTGTACCCTTTGTTTCTTTGTTAGAGATGCTCCAGAAATCTCTGAAAATAACTTTGTCAGAGGTCTTCCAGAAATGTTGCTAATGAGATAAAAGATTTTGGTGAAAATACTATAGAAATAGTATTGCCTATGTGGCTTTACAACCACAGGTGAACTGAATGACCGGTCAATGGTGGATATTCACAATCGAATTGAATGATGATGGATGTTTACTGAGGTAGAGACTGGTCAATGGTGGATATTCACAATCGAATTGAATGATGATGGATGTTTACTGAGGTAGAGATGGGGAATGGTTAGAGCAATAATGGGGAATTGATCAGCAATAATCTAAACCTCGCTCCCTCTTGCAATTTCTTTTAATTTTTAGAAAAATTACATAAATTTAGTGAAAATAATTGATGAAAATAAAATTGAAATAGTATCCTTTATTACCACAATCGAACGAAATAACCTACTAAATGGTGGATATTTATTGATGAAAATTGTTAAACTCCCAGCTCTCCTCTTGCGATTTTTATTATTTTAAAAAAATTACGTAAATTTATAAGACGAATTGACCTGGTCGACAGTGGATACTTTCTGAAGTGAACTAAGTAACCTGGTCAATAGTGGATATTTACTGAAGTGAAAGATGGGGAATTGTTCAACAATAATTTGTACTCGAGCTATTATTTTTAAAAAAATTACAAAAATTAGACTCGAACTATTATTTTTAAAAATTTACAAGACAGTTGAACTGAATAACCTGATATAGTTGATATTTACAGGGAATTGTCTAATAATAATCTAGACTCCCAGCTCTCTCCCTCTTGCCATTTCTATTATTTTTAAAAAAATTTACCTTACCTAAACCCTATGTGACCGTGTTATTTTTACAAAAATTACATAAACAATTCCTCTTTCATTAGTCTTCCCTTGGTTAATTTTTGGGCACTAGAATTAACTAAAGGTCTTCATCCCTGGGGTAATTTTTGGGTACTAAAATTAACTAAAGACCCGGTTTCTATGCGGCAAAGCCCGCATAGGCCTATTAATTCTATTAAAAAATGTATTTATGAGATGGATTTTTGGACTTCATTTCTAAAGATAAGTAATCTCTATTACAGAGATCATGAATATAAAAAAATAAGTAAATTTTAAAAACTCGAAATAACAATTGTACTGAGTCTAACGACTTAGATGTCATGGATCGATTCATGACCACCCCGTAAGAATAATTTTTTTTCCATTTTCTCTCTTTTCTTTCACAAAAATATGAAAGAGACTTAGATTTTCTCCCTCTTTTCTTTCATAAAAATACAAAAGAGACTGATATATAATCATTTTTATGACTACCCCGTAAGAATAATGTTTTTTTCATTTTCTCCCTCTTTTCTTTTATAAAAATATGAAAAAAACTTCTAGATTTTCTCCCTTTTTTCTTTCATAAAAAAACGAAAGAGACTTATACATAATCATGTTATAGAAAGAGACTCCTAGATTTTCTCCCTCTTTTATTTCATAAAAATACTAAAGAGACTGATATATAATCATTTTTATGACCACCTTGTAAGAATAATTTTTATTTCATTTTCTCCCTCTTTTCTTTTTCAAAAATACGAAAGAGACTCCTAGATTTTCTCCCTCTTATCTTTCATAAAAATACGAAAGAGATTGATACATAATCATGAAGAAAAATTTTTCTTTCATTTTCTCCCTCTTTTCTTTCACAAAAATATGAAAGAGACTTCTAAATTTTCTCCCTCTTTTCTTTAATAAAAATACGAAAGAGACTGATACATAATCATGTTATAAAAAGATATTCCTAGATTTTCTCCCTCTTTTATGTCATAAAAATATGAAAGAGACTGATACATAATCATTTTTATGACCACCCTCTAAGAATAATTTTTCTTTCATTTTTTCCCTCTTTTTTTTCACAAAAATAAGAAAGAGACTCCTAAATTTTCTCCCTCTTTTCTTTCATAAAAATACGAAAGAGATTGATACATAATCATTTTTATGACCACCCCATAAGAATAAGTTTTCTTTCATTTTCTCCCTCTTTTCTTTCACAAAAATATGAAAGAGACTTCTAGATTTTCTCCCTATTTTCTTTCATAAAAAATACGAAAGAGACTTCCCTCTTTTCTTTCACAAAAATATAAAAGAGACTTCTAGATTTTAATTTTCTCTCTCTTTTCTTTCATAAAAATACGAAAGAGACTGATAAATAATCACGTTATAGATAGAGACTCCTAGACTTTCTCCTTCTTTTATTTCATAAAAATATGAAAGAGATTGATATATAATCATTTTTATGACCACCTATAAGAATAATTTTTTTTTTTCATTTTCTCTTTCTTTTCTTTCACAAAAATACGGAAGAGACTCATAGATTTTCTTATTCTTTTCTTTCATAAAAATACGAAAAGTCATTGATACATAATCATTTTTATGACCACCCTGTAAGAATAATTTTTTTTCATTTTCTCCGTCTTTTCTTTCACAAAAATATGAAAGAGACTTCTAGATTTTCTCCCTCTGTTGTTTCATAAAAATACGAAAGAGACTGATACATAATCATGACGAATAATTTTTCTTTCATTTTCTCCCTCTTTTCTTTCACAAAAATATGAAAGGGACTTCTAAATTTCCTCTTAAGGGACTTCTAAATTTTCTCTTTCTTTTCTTTCATAAAAATACGAAAGAGATTGATACATATTCATGTTATAGAAAGAGACTCTTAGATTTTCTCCCTCTTTTATTTCATAAAAATACGAAAGAGATTGATACATAATCATTTTTATGACCACCCCATAAGAACAAATTTTCTTTCATTTTTTCCTTTTTTCTTTCACAAAAATACGAAAGAGACTCCTAGATTTTCTCCCTCTTTTCTTTCATAAAAATACGAACGAGATTGATACATAATCATTTTTATGAAGAATAATTTTTCTTTCATTTTCTCCCTAGAGACTGATACATAATCATTTTTATTACACCCTGTAAGAATAATTTTTCTTTCATTTTCTCCCTAGAGATTGATACATAATCATTTTTATGACCATCCCGTAAGAATAATTTTTCTTTCATTTTCCCCCTAGAGTTTGATACATAAGAATAATTGTTCTTTCATTTTCTCCCTAGAGACTGATACATAATCATTTTTATGACCATCCGTTAGAATAATTTTTCATTTTTATGACCACCCCAGAAGAATAATTTTTCTTATACATAATCATTTTTATGACCACCCGTAAGAATATTTTTTCTTTCATTTTCTCCACCCCGTAAGAATAATTTTTCATTTTTTTGACCACCCTGTTTTCTGTCCTTTTCTCCCTCCCGTAAAATTATAATCATTTTTATGACCAGAATAATTTATAATTTTTATAACCAGAACAATTTATAATTTTTCTTTCATTTCACCGCAACAACCTCCTTCGAGCGCCTGCCTGCCATCCACGCGCATCAATGCTACAACCAGTGAACAATTTCTACTTACGTTGGCTTCGATGTGGGATTATCGGCTACGTGGTCTTAAGAAGTTAAAGCAATAAATATATATATATATATATATATATATATATACTTTTTTTTATATAAAAGTACAAAAATACGCTAGAGTGGTATGGTGAATAGCTCTTTCATTTCCTAAGTTTGAACCCTCTCGAAAAAAATATAAAATAAAAAAGTTGTCAAAAAAAATATAAAATAAAAAAAGCTTTTTTTAAAAAAAGAAGTTATAAAAAATAAACAGCATTGGATTTTTT